AATACCACTTCACCACTGACTACGAACGTGAACTATCATCACTCAGAACGAAGTACGAAGTAGAAAACTTATGCTCCGGGTGCTGATGTTTTCGTGGTGCTCTCATCAAATCGGATCACCACCCTTTCTATCTCCTGCCTGAAACATTTCGGTCCAACAGGGTAATATGCGATTGACTTCGTTACTTTTTTAACTTGATGGGGCGTTTGCCCCCTGTGCATTTTCGTTTGTTCTTTCTCGGGACCACGGGACTTGTGGAAGGACCGAGTCTATGAAGGATGAGAAGTGCGACGTCGTCAATAATAGAGACAGGCCCGGTCGTGCTGCGCCTCGTTTGACGACCTGTTCACCGCGAGAGGCGCCGCTTCTGCTACCTTGCTGGGGGTCTGGCCGGCCAGGGCATCGTCAACTTGAAGTATTTCGCGACGAACACGATAATTTCTAGAGGAATATCTCCCTCCCGCTCAAGAGTTTGGTTATTTCCCCGACAACATGCCACACATTGATACCAGTTTCGAGGCAATGCGTCCGATGCGCAACTGTATGTATCCCATCCTAGAACACTCCGTCGCACTGCATTCGGAGACCATCACGAATTAGATTCTCCGTAGGTGTTACTGCACTCATCTTGCAGAAGCATACTTCGTAGTCTGTAGCCTGCTGGAGGAGAACGCCCCTGGTCATGAGCTCCTCCCCACTCCTTTGCGTTGAGCCCTGGTCAAGGTTGCACTTCTCACCCACACTTCTGCCCCTGGCAGTCTTGGCTTAGCCAGGGTCAAATGGGCCAAAATGGTCCGCACACTGTACGATTTCCGTCGATGAGACTGTACTTCCCACGAAACAGGAAAGAGAAAGTGCGAGGCACTGTATTCGTACTCGTAGCCAATCTACTTGGACGAGGGTCCTCGCCAGGTACCGCTACAGTCGCGTACTCTCTTCATTCACATCAATCGGTCAATTCACTGCTGGACAATGCAGGAGCACATTGATCAAAAAGCCTGGCGAATCACAGCACCTGGCCTCACTCCTCTGTCAGGTTGGTACAGGCCAGACGAGATTTCGAACATCAGACGGTCGTCGATCCGGTTCTGGAAAGACCGTAGAACCCTGACGGCACGGGTGTTGCGGGGAGTTGGTGATGATTCCCTCAATTGCTTCTGCTATCAGTATAAGCCCTCCACTTCGTGAACTAGATTTACGAAGAGATTACTTTATGGGACTTGGCTTGTGAGGTCTTGAGAGCATTTCAACGTTCCCTTTGGGTCGTCAATGGTAATGTTACCTCGTTCAAGTTGATCAATTCAATTGTTGCTTGTACATAGGTACACTACACGATAGAACGCTACCCATGACCCCACGCGCCACGGAGGATTACGAACATACAGAGTAGTGTCCTAGTTTAGTAGTGTCCTTGTGCAGTATTATGGGGGAGGGCGTGGCACCGGTAAAGGCCCCTCCGTAATGACCGTCAGCAAACCCTCCACTGTGCCTAGGGCTCTGCAGACTCCATGACCCTCGAAGCTCGCATGACAGGTCCATTGGTCTTCGTATTTCGCCAGCCTTGCCTTGTTTGGGTAAACGTCATCGGCTCTCTCCATCCTCAATTGTTTCAGTTAGCTCATTATCTGCGGGACCGTAGTACGCGCTCCGCAGACGGAAATAACTCCAAGAGAATGTACGAAGTACACTTGGCAGTTGGATTTCCTTTCAGCAAAGTCAACACCATAGAGGCTTGTTAACCCGACGACAGAGCCGCCAGATGATGCCGATCTGTCTTCCTTTTCCCCTTGTGCCTTACGGTTTGCGTAGCACATCGACCCGTGATGCGACATCGATATATCCCTCCCAAGAAGGCAACTGCGGGAGCACAATCCACCCATCGACGAATTGATTCTTGCCTCAACCCCACCCTTTCCCACCCTTCACGGTTATCTGCACACGTTCAGGAGAAATCATGCTGGTGGTGTGGACCAGCGCAATAATCCGTCCGAATGCGTTCAAAAGGTGTGGCCGCCCTCTGTTGCGCCTCGTCCCTATCGACCCAATGACAGTGCTGCGAAGGCCTCTCTTGACTTTCGATGGATTGCGCACGGATGAACCAATGCATCTGCGAGGTGGCAAACAGAGCACAGCACTGCGCTGTTACCGATGGCGTATTTACGCTACTTCTGGGTACACGCAAAAAACGGCTCTTGTGAGGTGTCGGGGGCTTTTGTAGTTACCGCGTAATTCGTAGTTATCCGTCTCCCGCGCAACGCTAACCCGGAGACCGTTGAGAGGCGAGCTGTTGCCATGGTCCGGCCTGGTCTGATCGATACAAAAGCAAAACATGCACCGAGGAACATACCGCGCTTTCCGATATCCTCATCGTCCGGCTAAAAGGCAAGCGCCAGATGTGGACGATCAGCAATTTTTTCCCTCATCCTGCGAAGGAACGGACGTCGCAATCCGAATTTTCAGGGCTGCTGGTCCCCTTTCTTTTTTCTCCTTGTTTTCTTACATTTCCCCTTTATTTTCTTTTTTGGCCTCTCCTGCAGGATCCGTTTACGCGAGCGAGTAACATGTGAAGTGACGTCTGTTCGCCTAAACGGACGAGGAAGGTAGCAGATTGCCCGATAATATCTGACAGCCCGTAGAGCACAGGCAATACTACCCACGATTACCGGGATTCATCCCATCTTTTCGAAAGGGTTGTCCAACCTAATATCTAAAGTTCATATCGCTAAAGACGGATCACCCGCCAGCGCCCGCACTGCCCAGAGCTCTCTCTTTTTTAACTTTGATACTGTAGTAAAGAGCCGATCTCCACTGACGAATAATGCTCCGCCCGCGCCGTACACCGCAAGTTTATCACAGTCGTATAGGGCGATATTAGTGCCCACCACCACCCAGTTCCTCGAAATAAACCGTTGACAGTGGGGGTTACTATACACTACGCGTATTTTTCTAAGCAACCGGGTCCATGGGGAATATGCTCTCGGTGATGTGCTCGCCAGAAACCGGCGAACCCGGTCGACGAAGGAATATATGTCGTCAGGACGAGTTCCATGATGCGTCTCGGCTGAAAATCTCCAACGTTGCGTCAACATTTATCCAGAACTCCTACCAACGGGAGCTCGAATACCGTCTCATGTGGTCTCACGGCGATGCAACCCAAGAGGTGATACAGCACATGGAAGTAGTGGAGGTTTGGTGGTGCCTACGCAGTAGAAAGGGGCATCTGACCTGAACCAAGACTCGGCAAATGGTCCTTTGAAGAATCTTTGACGTCCTCTTTTTCCTTGTTATCGAAGTCATTCCATTTTGAGAAAATCTGACTGTCTTATCCAAGTGAGGGAAAGTAGCGGAACCGCCCTTGACGAACTGGGAGTGAAACCGGGATGTGGTCAATGCCTCCATCTCGAGACGGTAATGTCGATCTAAAAATACGAGTAATTAAATACGTACCGTCACCAAATAAACGTCTTGCTTCCCGTGTCTGCTTTGTAGTGTCCACAACTTAATACCGGATCCGCTTTCAATATTTCCGGGTTCATCTGATCTTCGATCAAACGGTAAACGCAGGGAGAGGAAAGAAGGAGAAGAAACCGGAAGAAAGAACCAAATAACCTAGAAGGCCAAGCCTTTACGATGAATGCTGCAGGTGCTGTTACAGAAAAGTGTTGACAATAAAACACTTGTGAGATGGCACCACCGAGATCAGTCTCACACTGCTGCCTAGCAATATGGGGCGGTATAAACTCTCTCGAGCTGAACGCCTTACTTCTTCGTACAAAGTACCCAGCAAACCGGGCTCCTCGACTGGAGTCGTCCCGAGAGTTCGTTTCTGGGCGCTGAAGAGAGACCCAGGGGCAGGGTTGAACCAATGTACGACATCCAAGGAACATCAATTTCCTTTTTTGCGTCATTGTGGAAAGTATTAACAGGCAGTCGCTGAAGAGCACTTGGGATTGTTTGCTTTGTGGTTTCATTAAACAAAAAGAGAGAAAACAAAAGGTGCCTTTCAAATCAAATAGCGCATGCACAGCCCAAATTATTACTACTAATATTGGCGAACTTTATATGATGAGCTTCATGAACGCGACCTGCCGACCATTAGCTGCTCTTGACGATAGCCAGCGGACATTGGCAATTTCCGAATGTCTTGGACGATTGCCTTGACTTGCATAAAATACGACGGCGATTACGATTGCCTACTCTCACCTCTGCAAGTCTAAGCACTAAATAGCTAGACTTTTTAAGTTCCTTGATCGTGGCCCTGGGACTAATAGCAGGAGGAAGAGACGCCGAGGCGAGGTTAAATGGAGCGCTCAAGGGATGAACGCTAGGTGGTCAGCGCCAATGAGGTGCTGGGTAGAACCAGGGTCCACCATGCTTACCTCCTGGAAACGTGGCGATTGACTCGGCTTAATCTTGAGCTTGTTCTGTGTTCTTTTCTTTCCTTTGTTTGGCCTTGTAAACGAAAGATATGGAAGCCGGCCTCTCAAGAACAGAAACGGAAGAACCTACTAAGGTATATTACGCTGTTTCCTAGTGCGAAGTACAAGTAGCAACGATCTTAAAATATTAAAATATTCTGAAATTTAAAAAGGGAAAAAAGAAAGGATCTTGATGGATCCTGATGGGATCTCGCAAAGGCCAGTCTCGAGATTAACACGTCTTGGCATATGTCGGCTGATGCCAGCTGCCAAATACAACCGTCAAGCCTCGGCTGGTGAGCACAAGTCCGTTTCGCGGTCGTCATTCGTCGGCGCATGAAGACGTGCGGTGCAGCTCCCAAGCTCATGACATAAACTCGTAGCTCAGCTTCTCATCGCAACTGATTTGAGGCTGAATGAAACCCAAAGACTTCAACTCTCTTCATCTCAACGGAAACAAGTCGAATCTCCCGTAAGCTTCATTTTAACGTAGCTCGAATCGGGGCCTCAACAGCCCTCAATTTTCTAATAAACAAAACCCCCACACACACATCCATCTCTCGCATCACGCTCAAATCTCAAATGTCCGGCGCATCCTCAAGAAGTGCTGCCAAGAGGCTCCTGAAGGAACTTGAGAGGTGGGCTGCGGAATCGAAGGATGAGACCGGTATCGAGCGCCTTGGGCCGCCGAACGATGAGGATCTCCTCACCTGGGAGGCGGTGATAAATGGCAAGGGCGTAGGAGGTGGCTATGACGGTTCGTAAACCCCTGTGCTGCGAATACTCGCACACGCATATCCTTCTCTCTCATCTCACCTCAGACCTCACACTAACATGACGCAAAACATTTCCCCTTTCAAAAGAGGGTCGCTGGCTTCTTACGATAAAGATCCCTGCGTCTTATCCCATTGAGCCTCCCAAGGTCGAGTTCGTCACGCCCATTGTTCATCCGAACATTGCGCTCGCAACGGGCGAGATATGCCTCGACTTGCTCAAGACGGCATGGACGCCAACGTACACGATCCTCGAGGTCGTCCGCGCTATTCGAATGCTCCTCTCCTGTCCGGAGACCGAGAGCCCTCTCAATGTGGATGTCGCCGCCTTGCTGAGGGGGGGCGATGCTGTCGGCGGGAAGGCGCTTGTGGAGCTCTGGTGTAAAGGGGAGGAAGGCAGGTATGATGGCCCTTAGAGGTTAGCCAGTGGATTGGAAAGGATAGGGGGGAGGTTTTTTGTGTATATGCCGAAGGATTTCATTGCATCTGTTGGCGTCAGGGAAAGCTTTGGAGTACTGTTGCGTCTATATATCCAACCCATGAGAATGGTTCATGGAACACGGTGCACCATGAGACATAGTTAGACGAGCGTCGGTTTTATCAACTCGGGACAACCAGAATGTGGTTCATATTTTTTCTCTCTCTCTTTTTCAACTCACGGAATATCTAGTTTCAAAATGATCTTACAAAGATGAGCTTTGGGGTGTCAAAAAAAACTCAACCCACCATGCTACCATGTCCATAATCTTGCCCCTAGACGCCTTCCTAGGCTCCTCTATCAGAGCGGAAAAGAAAAGGAAACTGAAAACAAAAAACAATGGATCCTTCTATAATCAAAACCAACGCAGTGACCATAACCATTTGCTTCACGAGAACCGGTGCTGCCCTCCCCTATTGTTTGTTGCTGTTTTCGCCACGCCTTCCGGCCACATCCCTCTTTTCATAGCAAACTTCATGACTCCTTATCCGTACATTACGTATCTCAACTTCGCGGAAGCCTTTTTTGCATTTTCTCTTCTTCTCCGGTCACAGTCATCATCCATCCACAAGGCAGGCCAATACGGCATTGTTGCCTAGGACGGCGGGACATCTGGACACCGCTTTTATGCGAAAGCAATTATAGATAAGGAAATTTATCATGGCAAACCCCGTATCGAAAGACAATAGAGAACGCGAGATAAGGGTCGTGTACTCTACGAGCGCTAAAATCGCACGCGTCATAACCGTTACTCGTTGTAATGGTAAACCTGGGTTTGCGTTGTTAGAGCTCGAAGCACGAAACTCGAGGTTGAATAAAAAATTCAAATCTGAGCGCATACCTTGTAGTTTGGTAAACCAGTGGCTTGCCACCCTAACCGCTTCGCCATCTTGGCGAAACCCTCCGTCTCGATTAGGTGGTAGAAAGCAAACGGGGGGAACATAGCACCATCTCGGTGGACGTCGGCCTTGACGAGAAGAGTGGTTCCGCCGACGCCGTCGATGGGCATTTCAGTGTGAATGTCACCTCCGTCGGACACGCGGGCCATCAGAGTCCGATACGTCGCCATCTCGGCATAGCCTTCAAAGAGAACGTCGTCGGGTCCCATCTCCGCCGCGAGTTTCTGGGCGGTTTCACTATCTTGCCAATTGTTGAAGTCATAGCCTCGCTCGTCCAGCTTTCCGGTTTCGGGATTGATGAACCTCTGGAAGCAGTTTGGCGCAATAATGGGCTTATCGTGTAGAGCTAGGTCTTGAATGAGGGTGGGAGGCGTCTCGACAATATCGGCATCGAGCCAGAGAACCCATGACGTCGAGGCTCCTAGGGTGGTAAATAGGAGGGAATTTCTCGCTTTTGCCATGACGGCGCGGCGAGCCTTCTGATGCTCTAGTTTGTGCCTCACGCTCTCATCCTGAGATGAAAGAACAGGATCAAAGTCCTGCCTGAGGATGGTGACGCCTTGGAACCGATCCTTCTCCGGCCCCTTCTGAGTCTTGATGACCTGCTTCTGCAAGGCTGCGGTTGCAGCATTTCCCTCCTTCGTCTTGGGCAGTATAAAACCGAGAGTTATCAGCTCGTGGGGATACGAAAGCTTCATAAGATTGTTCCAGTACTCTTGGTAGAATCTCGTCATGGGTGTCAAAATCAGGATGGACTCGCGATGAGTGACCGGATCGTTCGTGATGGTAACATTATTCAGGTTATAGACGGTAACGGGCGGCGCCTTCGCGGGTATGCCTTTCGATGATCGCTTGGCGGAATTTTGCGTGGATTGGTTGACGGTTTGGGAGGAGGGCGAGAAGAAGAAGAAGAAAAAGATGAAGATGAATGTGGCGGCACCGATGATGAGGGTGATTGAATTCGTCCGCTTCAAACGAACGGCCCCTAGAGGTCGAGCCATACTTTACACCTTCGGTAGCGCAAAGAAATCACCGGGCTGGATCGACGTGTCTCGATGTCGCTGCAGAGGACTCCTTTTGGCTACCTCGACGTAGTAACCACGGTGGCAATCGCAGTCATCGGGAACACGATCTTGGATAGGAGTCGGGTTTGCTGCTGGCACGAGATAGCGAGTAATTTCGCTGGAGGAAAGCACAAGGGTTTCCAAGCCCGGCCGTCGAACTGTGCGATTCGTGAACAATTCCCTGCGTTTGGATGAGCCGGATAATTCACACGTCGTTCGACTATGAAGTATGCAGAGAATGTCGAAAAGCTAATCTGTGATTTTAGAAAAGTGGTGCAGGTAGCTTAAGGGGGTGAATGCCAAGAAAATAGAAAAATAGCACCAAGATCAAGTTCAATGGGATTTCCGGGGCTGGTAGCACAGCAGCACACGGTACATGTACCGAGCAAGGATCGCATCAATTGGACTTGGAATTGATTGAATCCTCGAACCCCGGTAATAATTCAGACTTGCGCTACTCTTACCAAGTACGAGGTACACAACCGGAGGTATTTTTACGCGTACTTCACAGTTCGGTCACTGTCGATCTGTACATTGAACTTTTGCATTCCCCTTGTCTGCTCGAATTAGGCCAGCTCAAGTTTAAGTTAAAGGTACTTATTTCGCCCACACTGTTCACAAGCAGTACGAAGTACAGATCAATTGATGGTATATATGAAGTGAATTGCATCACCATAGGGGTGGATTTTCCCGTATCGACACTGGGTACAAGGGTATCTCCTGGCTGATTGGCTGATTGGCTGTGCTCCTAATATTAGCACCTTCCCAGTCAATCTCGAAACTTGTGAGGATGAAGCCAACTTTTGATCGAGATTGTCGTGTAAACTAGCATGTTAAGATTGTCTTCCCTTCCAGGGAGACAAGACAAGCCATTATTGCCACCTCAAGATGCGCTTAAAAAACTCACGGATCGGGGCGGGCTAGTCCAACGACACCAAGATACTTTAGCGACCGGAGCATGTGTTTCTTAATCAAGTGCCAAAAAGGGTGCGAGATACGAAGTAGTGACTCGTCGACCATCTTTTAGAATGTCAGCTGTTATCAACTGTCAAAACCGAGAGGTGGGGCTCTGCCAAACATGGCTCATACCGTGCCCCATCGAGGTCGCATTGTTTCTGTTGATGCACGACGACGCCCAAACACTTTACACTAGGACAAGCTAGCAACACCCATTGCAACCAGTGAAACCCACCCACTTTCGATCTATTCGTAGCCTGGTCATCATCGTTCGGGCCTGACAGGCGTCTCCGACAGCAAGACACATTCTTCCGAGCCCAAATACGAACTTCCGAACACCTCTACTTCCCCCATTGAGCGCGCCATTAACCATGTCTGATAAACTCGATCGTAGCCTTGACGAGCTTCTAGAGGAAAAGGTAAGTGATGGGCACATCCCTACTGATACTCTCCGAGTGCACATCTCACTAGCGGTCTGCTAACCCTGAGCTTGGGCAGCCCTCGAATAGAAACAGACGGACCGGCGGCGGTAACAGGCCAGGTCGAAGACAAGATCGAGACCGTCAGGATTCGTATCCTCGCGACGGCGTTAGAAAGGTACGATTCGAATACATCGATGCTCTACGCTTTGCACCCATATTCCAACTACTTCCGGAGCCATGAAACCTCCCACTTCTTCTTCGAGCTGCTCTCCACCTTTCCAATGATCTCGTATGCTCAAGTTATGAGTCGATTCGGAATACGGGTCTCCTCGAATGTGATGAACGGCATCCTGGGTTGAGGAAGGAGGCACTTCTCCAGCTAACAGAACCCCCCGCACTCGCTACGTAGTCATATAATCGCGACGAGCCTAGGAATATCGATAGGTTAGTTGATATTTACCATCAGATTTTAGTTCCCAGGCTGCTGTTGCTCTAACATTTTCCAGCGAATGGGTTCATGACAAGTTTGAAGAACAAGGTAGCCTACGATCCCCACTACGAATCTCGAATCCACCGACAGCACACGGCGGCTGACTTCGTTTAGACTATCGTCACGCACCCGCTCCTCGCCGCCGACGCGAACCGGCGAATACCGCATCAAGGTAAAGCGAGGCCCATGAGAGTTCCCGTTTCTTCCGTTCACGCACCGTCTAACTAGTGGGATATCGTAGCGATTCACAAGGTGGTGCAAAGCTCCGTGTTGAGAACATCCACTATGACCTAAGTGAAGGCGAGCTCGAGGTACGGCCCAATTTGCGCGGATTCTAGATATTTCGTTTCCGTCTGCTCACAGTGCTGTAGGATCTCTTTAGCAAGATAGGGCCAGTCGCTAGGTTTAATCTTTGCTACGATCGAGCAGGGCGTTCGGAAGGTGTCGCGTTCGTCACGTATCAATACCGAGATGATGCTGTCACAGCGATCCGAGAATACGATGGCGCGAATGCTAATGGTAGGTCGACATTTTGGGCTGGGAATGTCCGAATCCTATTTATTACATCGTACTGACTCGAATTCTCTGACAAGGTCAACCGATCCGTCTGACACTGTTACCAAGCGATGCCGGCCGGAGTAGGCGCAACCCTTTCGATACCGCCGTGATGCCTAGTCGTCCTCTTGCCGAAAGAATCACTGCGCCGGGAGACCGAGATCGGTCCCTTTCTCCAATTCGTCGTCTCGAGGAGGAAGCGGCGAGGAAAGGCATCGACAGATACGTTCCCGGGGGAAGCGGTAGCCGTTCCAGGAGTCCTATGCGCCCGCGACGAGGTGGTGGCCGTAGACCCGGAGCACGACGTGATGCCCCCCGAGACCAAGATACCCGTGGCGGCCAGAGATCGGGTGGTCGTCCTAGGAAAACCCAGGAGGAGCTAGATGCCGAGATGGACGATTACTTCAACGCTGGGCAAGCTGCTCAGTCATCCGCGGCAACTGCTCATTCTGAACATATTGATGATATCGACATGATTGAGTGAACAGGCTCCAGGACAAACAGACCGTGGTGGTGGGGAAGTAAGAAACACAGGGGTATAACAGGGCGGATAGAAGGCAGTTTAGGGGCACTGGTCGGCCATAAATGTTATGATAGCGTTAAACGATACACTCTTCCACATGTAAAAATACAACAACAGTTCCTCAGTGATTTGTTGATTGATGCTTTCATGCCATTGATCAGTGGTCCATCTATATATTCAGTTGGTTGATTGTACATATGAAAGAGCTTGTCAAAGAACTCTGCCTCAAGCTACACCACCTATTACAACTTGGCAGCAAAGAAAAATATATGTTACAAAGTCACGTATGAGTATGGGCTGTCCACTTTTGTCCGCACCCTTGGCTGACTGACACTCTCTTGATCTGAGCCAGCCCTGCTCGGCTCACCTTTCTCTGAAACGAACATGTGTTTCCTCGACAGGGCTCCAAAATGGCCCCAAACCCAGGAGGCGGCATCTCCTCCTACATCTACCGGGGCCTGGACACCATCGTGCAGGGACGACGATGTTCCGACGACTATAGATCCGGGGAACGAGGCCGGGTTTATAGAGGTTGCGAAGTCTCCGACATTCGGGGCCGTTACGAACTGGACGTAGGAGCCGGGCGAGACCACACCGCGCTGGAGGATAGCAGGTCCCGAATCGTCGGCGGAGTTGAGGATCATGTTGAGGTCGTCCTCGCTCGAGTCTGAGGAGGCCCACTCTGCGTCGAGGGAGAGTCGTCCTCGACGTTTATCCCAGCCACCGCCACCGCTTGCTGAGAAAAAGGGAAAAGGTTAGCAATAATGTAGGCAATCAAACATAAGAGGCGTCCTCGGGAGAAGGGATGTTTCTCACTGATTCGATAGAGTCGGAAACCGGACATTAGTAGCTCTGCGGCGGCTTTGGCGTTCTTGTAGCCGACAGTGGCTTCCTCCTCGGGCCCGTCGAATTTAGCCTTTTCAAAACTCTTCATCGTCTCTAGCAGAAAGGGTGTTAACGAGGCCGCGGGGGTTGATATCAAAGCCCATATATCGACTGGCATGCCGGAGGTGTTGAGGTTGTCTGCGGCGAAGCGGCTGTCATATACTTCCTGAACCTTGGCCTCGAGTTCGGTCGACGCTGGAACGGGTGATCCATCAACCTCTATCACGCTAAGGATATTTCCTAGACATCCAAGGATCTTGCGCGGGGGCGTAACGGGTATAAGCGGAACTGATAGTCTGGGAGTTGTCGTCGTCAAGGGTGTGGGGAGCACAATCTCATGCTCATTTTTTTCGGCCACGCTGGATAGCGTCAGGGCTCCTTCGCCTTGGGCAGTCCAGCTTGATGCTAAAAGGGTTGACTCGAGGCCATTCTGGAAGATGGTGTTTGCGAGAGGTAATGTCACGGAGAGGTTTTTCGTTTTGGGAGCAGCGCCAGGGAGGGTAAAGGCGAGACTCCCGCGTTGCGGGATACCTCGACCCCTGTAGAGGACTGGCTGGGAGCTGAAGGCCGGGAGCATCTCCTCTACTGACCCTTGCATGACTGAGAACCCAGCCGCCGGTGCCCCGAACGGACTTGATGGAGGCAGGTCGTCGACCACGGCGGCAAGCACTTGGATGTCACGCTGAGTGAAAGAGGACAGGAGAGAGGCCATGAAGGGCTCGTTCATCAGCCACCGCGCAAAAGTCGGCGTAGCGAGAACCACCGCGGAATCGGCCTCGTAAGAGAGTGCGGGCACGTGGATCTTTTGCTCTCTGAGGTGCCGTAGCTGCTCGAGCACCGTTTCCTAGTACCTGTTTAGCCCTCGCCGTCGAGAATATCTTACGCTACGGGGTAACGCACCGTGCTCGAGTTCGGGGGAACTCTCAGGGTGAATTTAGATGGGTCATCGGACACGGATATTGTCGACAATGATCTTAATTGTGTCCTAAGCGTTGATGAGATATGACGGTTGCAGATGCTGCTTCTGAGAGCTCGACTAATTATTCGCGACGACATGATGAAGGGATCGAGGAATCTCTCATCCGGGAGGGAATCAATGCGAGAAATCTATACATAAAATAAAACCTCCTTATACACCAATTCGTTTGTTTGAAGAAGAAGGAAAAAATCAAATGAAAGATCACACGAAGAAACGAGCCAGAAATGATATGAGCGATGAGCTTCGTTCAACAGTCTCGCCAATTGTATAGACAATTCGCACTGTACGTGCACTGATGCACCATGCCGGAAGCATTGTCAGAGCCAAAGGGCCCCCTGCTTGAGGAGGGCGCCTCAAGAAGAATGCTGGAGAGCTGTTCCGACTTCCGGAACGTCCGGGGACGATTGGAAAAGACTGTCAATATTTTGTAGAATTATTATTATTTATGAACAGAAACGGGCGATGCCGGGTGGAGGCCCGTTGCTCCGTTGTAGGGCATGGTTGTTGTAAGGTATGGAGCTCGCCAATGCACGGAAAATAGGCCGCTATATACATGGATGGTTTCTTGGAGACTAATACAATCATTGCGAATCAAAATAGGATGATCTATGTCGCAGAAATAGCTGTAGGAGTGACGGGACGTAATGAGGAATAATGCCAACCAGAGGATAATCTGTTGCGTATGCTTTTCTAGCCACCCACCCCCTCTTAAAACCTGATGGAAACACACAAATCCCAGAAACGAAACCCTTTTAATACCCACGTCCATCATTACTTCTTCTTGTTCGAGCCGGAAACCTTGCGCTCTAGAGCGGGTGTATTATCCGACATCTTGAGGTCCTGAATCTCCTTAGACTCAGCATACCACTGGCTAACCTGCAAGACCAGCACGCCGACCAGCACAAGGGCAAGGATCGTATTGCTAATAGCAAGTAACTTGACGTTATCCTTGCGGCTGACCGTCACGCCGTCCTCCTCCTCGGGCCACTGGCCCCAGCTGACGAGGCGCAGACGCTTGACGATGCTGCGCACCCAGATGGCCCAGCCGATGAAGTAGAGGAGCAGACCGGCGCCGTCGAAGAGGAAGTTGAGCGCGGCCGGGCGGTAGAGCTTTATAGCGAAGCCGAGGAATCCGACGCTCGTGATGATGTTGAGGACGCGGCTGATGAGCGGTGGAGATTGGTGCATCCAACGGAGGTGGGTTTCGAGGATGTCGTAGTAGCTGTCGGGTACGGGGGCGGCGGACCATAGGAGGGGGAAGTCATAGGGGAAGGAGGCGAAGAGGATTCCTAGGAAAAAACACGTCGCTGGGTGTTGTTAGTTCTGCCAGTGAGATTCTTGAGAGTTGGTGTCCAGACCCGGAATATGGGACACTTACAGCCAAGGATCATAAAGGTCGCAAAGGAACCCGATCCCCGGTAGTCGGGAGAGAGCGGGTTCTTGGACCAATTTATTATCTGGATCATCTCGACCAGTTGAGGGAGCGGGTGTTGGGTTGAAGGAGCAAGGCGGAAGATGCTTGAGCTGTCGCCGCTCCGTCGTCCCAACCCTTGATCGCATGTCCTTTGTACTTCGTACAATGAAGGAATTAAGGTGGGAATTCATATTAGATCACGTGACTCTTACGCAACTGCGACTCCTGCCAAGCTCTCCGTTGATTCCAGAAAGCGAAAAGCACTTTGATACTTTAGGTAAGAATACAAATATTGATTTGATAGGTTCAACGAGCCTATTCGACTGCTTATTGCGAAAGGTGAGAGACAGGGGTCCATTAATGCGGTCAAATTGTACGAAGTAGCAACCAGATCGAAGACCAGGAGCGCCGAGCGAGCCGCCTTTGAGCAACTGCGCACGGTCCAAACAGCCGGAAAACCTTTCTATAAAACGATAATTACCAATAGCTCCAACAGCAACTCCCGATGGTCTAGTTGGTTCATGACATCTGACTGTAATGGCAACAGTTCAATCAGAGGGTCACCTGTTCGATTCAGGTTCGGGAGAGTCAATCATATTTTTGCTCCTTCCGAGAATATTATCTTACCCTCTTCTTTGCGCGTTCCTCTTTTTTACTTCTTTTTTTTTTCTTTTCTTTTCTTTTCTTTTCTGTTGCCATGATCATTACTTTTCCTTTGCTTTCTGTGCTGGAAGAGAGAATTGCTTTTTTGTCCTGACATGTTCTTCGCCTTTCACTTACGGCTCGAAGTTACAGCTCTCAAGCCGAGACGAGGAGAAAGCCCGACTCTTCGTTGAGGTTAACAGGGTGTCATATTATCATTTTAATATATTCAACAAATAACACCTAGTCCTGGGTTCGAGTCATGTATCCTGTCGTGTTGCCGTTTCCTTCTATATATTCAAAGTTCGTAAACCTCGTTTCTGGGCCGCCGTTTTAACAGCTCGCTTTATGCTCTCCGAAGCCTTCACCCAGGCCTGTTTTCCCTTCGCACTCGAGTCATCCTCATGGATTATCCAATCGAGATACTTGATTAACGACGTCGCCTTCTCCATATTTCTTTCTTCCACAACGACCTTGGAAAGATACTCTTCAAACATGTGCAAATCATCACTATGCGGCCCTGAAGTTGACGTCTTGGAGTGCCACGCATCAAGCATGTCCTTGACCCCTTGCGCTGATGTGATTCCAGAGTTCCCAAACGACACCTTGGGAGGAGGCGGAGGGAACGTGAGCTTCGTCTGTCCGTTGCGGGCCGGATTTTCTGTTTCTCCATTTGCTCGTCGGTTGGGCCGGTTGATATTCAACCCGGATTTGCGAGCGAGCCGTTGCCGGCGATGATCCTCGAGAACCTCTCGCCGAACGTCCTCGGGAAGCTCGGCGAGGATTGTCGGATCCAGCTCCTCGGGCTCACTCTCCGTAGTGTTTGCCTCGGGGTTGGCGTTTCGGTCCAGGAAGTTGGTCTGCATAAGGCCTGCCCGAGCGTCGCGTTGACGCTCCTTGGCCTTTCCCCACATACCCCGGACGCCCTTCTTCGTTGGCGTTGTTGCATTCTTTACAGGTGATGCCACCCTACCTGCCTGCGGTGACCGAGACGGCCCCGCAACAGGTTCTTGCCTCCGGTAAGAAAGGAGCACCTCGGCTTTCATATCCTCTGGTAGAGCATTGAAAACCTCTGGGTCGATTTGGGAGGGGAGCGGTTCATTCATGGGCGCGGTATTGGTAGCCAGCGACTTTGCCCGAATGCTTGGCGAACTCTGTTGAGGTGATGATATTGGATTTCTCGTGCCTTGTCCCATAAGTCGGCTTCGAATATCCGAGGGAAGCTCTGCAATGACAGCAGGATCGGGGTTACTTGGTAGAATGAACTGAGTTCCCGAAACATTAAGAGGTGTCTTGGCCTTGGGATCCGATTCATAGTATCTTGCGCGGACAAGGGCCGGATGCATTGAACCCCGGGGCTTTTTAGGGGTCGTGGGGTCATCATCAATGGGATCCCTTTCCTTTGCGACCGAACCTGGTGTATTATTCCCCGATCTTGGCGGACTTGTTACATCTTCGATTGGATCCAGCTTTGCTCTTTTCGATGGCGATGGTCCAGCAAAGGTGGGGAACTGCAAGCGTTTCTGGCTGCCATCGAGTCCCAAGTTGGGTTTGACAGCATCCAACTTCGTCATCTGCACACCCAACCCGCGCAAATCTCCGGGACTAAACTTGAACGATCGCAGTATTGAGATTGCTTCTCGTCCAATAATTTCCGCACTGTTAGTCGCCACACCAAACACTGCACTCTTGTTGAAGACGTCGCATTTCCCGTGGCCAAGATGCTTCACAGTGTCAAATGGGGCATCTAATGATCGTCGCATCACCTTGACAGTCAGGTTTTTACCCTTGACTTGCTCGTTTAGAAGCCGGCGCTCCAGTTCCTTGCATAGGTTCATCATGAATTCATCGGCTTCCGCTTGGTTGATAAACCGAATGCCCCAGCTAACCTCGGCGGAGACAGACTTTCGAGGAGGCTGATCACCCACTTCGGACTTGTCTATACCTCTCGCGTATTCCCAGAGCTTTTCGCCAGTCTTGGGGCCTAACACAGTGGTGAGTCGTTCTTTAGATTGAGCGCGCAAGTCCTTCACGAACTTGACACCCAGTTCCTCGAGCTTGCCACCGATGCTGTAGGCAACACCTGGAAGACTGGTTACTTCCAATTCACCGAGGAGATCAAGTATTTCTTCTGGTCGAATCTGGTACTGTCCGTTGGGCTTTGCCTTTCGCAAGGCCACCTTGGCAAGGAGAACGTTGGGCCCGATGCCGACGGAAACGGCGCAACCAGTCTTCTCCGCAGTCTTAGCACGAAGGTCGGAGGCAATTTTGTCTGCGTCTTCCTGTTCGCGCCACAAACTGCCCTCATCAACGCCGATACCCGTGGACATAGTATCACGCATAACGACGGCAGTTATATCAACTAACGCTTCGTCGATGCTGACACTCTGGACAACACCGCCCCCATCCAGAATAGCTTCGTAAAACTGCCGGCTCGCTTCTTCGTAGGCTGGAAAGTCGTAAGGAAGTACCTTGAGATTCGGACACAATTCCAAGGCCCTTTTCATCCACATGCCGTTTTTGACACCGAATTTCCTGGCCGGGTAGTTGCAGCTTGCTATCTCGGAGCCTGTCCCAGTGCCATGAGCGACAACAGCGGGCTTGTCGATACAGTCGGGATGTTTCTTGAGCGACACGGCACAGAAAAAGCTGTCGAAATCGACGTGCATGATATACCTCCTTGAACCGGGTGCCCTCCTTACCGGTTTCGCGGCTGGGCCCCTCTCACTTGCCATTTTCTGCATCTTTGATTTCAGCTCGGCTTTCCAGGTAGAAAGGTGATGCAGCCGGCTCTCGGAGTAGAATTGCTTTAAAAATTCGGGGTTGGCAGACGACGCCTTTCGTATATTGGGATCAGCTAGGAGCCACGCATTGTACTCTTCCGAGGTCATATTTTTTAGCCCATTTGCATCCGCATTTCCTGGACCCGAAGGAGCCTTCTGACCGGAGTCTGCTCCCTTCCCGGCGATATAGGATGGGGAATACTCTAGAGCCTGTAAATCCGAATGTAGAGGTAGGCCTATCGTTTCGTCCGTCCGTCTCTCGGCGGCGGGACTATTTAGCGGCTGTGGCTCCGCGGGCTGCTGGGGAGAGTTTGAAGAACCGGGAGTCCGGGTTGATGGTGATTCCAGGCGGCTGCTCTGAGGAGTCCTTGCAAACTGGCTATTATAAAAGCTGTTCTGGGTCTGCTCCCTATAGCCGATTTTGGAGGGAGAAATCGATTGCGACAGAACCTTGCCACTCTCAAACTTCAGCACCTTTTGTCTCGGACCCTCATCGATCACACGATATTCGGTCCACGAGAGCAGCCTTCCGGCATTTATAGAGTCGGTAACCCATGCTGGCTTAACAATTCGGTATCGAGCGAATTCAACGGCTTTCTTTGGGGTGACAGAGGAGGCTATAATATGGGTGGCCATGGTTTTGGAATCGAGATATTGGAGGAAGCCGGCGCCATGCTTGACGAGCTCTTTATGCAAGCTGTATTCCGCGCGATTAGACATTTTCCGTAAAAAAAAAAAAGAAAAAAAAAATTCTAGGTAGAATCGCCATCAAGCTTACACATGGAGAGGAGGCTGCGTGTATCCTGAGACATGCGCGACGACTCCCTTGAAGATTTGGGGGAAATCAGAAGACGCAGTACGGAGCTCCGCATCCAGGTTCTGGAGTTTGATCTTCTTGCGCCGGAAGTAATCTCCGAATCCTCCAAAGTCGCTTGCGCCATACTCTTCGCCTTCCTCATCGTCAAAGCTGTGGTCCTCGATTCGCTTCCTGACTTGAGACGAGTTCTTGTCGGCTGGTGTTCCCATGGTGGCGATTTCTTCTCGGGCAGAGATGAGGCTTAGAATAATTATGAGTATCAAATCGTATCATATAGGTCATCTAGGCACCCAGAGTAGGCCATTTTCGATGTTGTGGACTAGCTGAAAACTGGGTTGCAAACAAAGAGTTGGAGAAGAGAAAGATGGACGTGAACTTGGTGATTTGATGTGCTTCGGCGCGTCAGATTAGAAGGTGGGGTGGGTGGCGTTCAGTGCTTTAACACGCTATCACGTGACCTTCAGCGCATATCTATGATTCAAACTGGCGCGCCAGTTGCAGTGCTCCATTGCGAAGTCCACTGATGAAGAGTGCTGCCGACTTATTCCTCCCTGGTGGCGTAGTCCAGCTGTTTGTTGCAAGAAACATCAGCTTTTGTATATTTTGCCTCCACTCCAGAGAGGCCTACCCTCACCTTTTCTAGCGACAATGAACAACGAGCAGTTTCGAAGATTACTGCTCAGCAAAAGCGCGAAGCCCTCCGATGGGAGCTCCAAGTCCCCGGCCTCGGCGAGCCCTGGCGGCTCAAGCAACCTTGGAGCTCGCCAGAGGGCCAATATACCTATGACCCCGTAAGTTCCACCCGTCGCGTAACTTTCGACTGTTTTCTAACCGCACACATCTCTAGGCGCTCCGTCGGTCTAAACGCCAACGTAGATTTTGCGCGACAAGTCGCCGAGAGAAACCGCGCCGTCAATCCACAGAAGAAGTTCCGATCGTCGGCCCCGAAGGGCGCGAGGCTCGCCGCCGGCTACGTGGATCGTACAAAATCGAGACAAGAAGAGGAAGACGAGAAAGAGGTCAGGATAAAAGCCCTGGAAGAGGCGCTAAAGCACGAGGAGATCGATCAGGAAACGTTCGAGAAGTTACGGAACCAGATCGCTGGTGGCGACCTTTCTACGACGCACATGGTGAAGGGGCTTGATTTCAAGCTCCTAGAGAGGATAAGACGAGGCGAGGATGTCTATGGCGATAGGAAAGCCTCGCAAGATGCGACTAAAGAGGCGGCAGAGGAGGAAGAGGAGGAGGGGAATCTTGATGAAGAGCTTGACAAAGTGCTAGAGAGGGAAGTTACGGCCGTTGAGAAGGAGAAGCGTGAGAAGAAAGGCCAATTATCCACCGTATCGCTAGCGCCGGGGAAGAAGCGGACACGAGATCAGATATTAGCCGAGTTGAAGGCCGCCAGGTCAACAGTGAAGGAGCCAAAGGAGGAGTTAGGAGGGAGGTTTAAGAAGATCAGTGCAAAACAACAACCGGGCACGCGGATCGAGCGAGACAGCAAAGGAAGAGAGGTACTTATAATCGTGGATGAAGATGGCCACGAGAAGAGGAAGATACGTAAAGTCTACGCCGGCGAGAAGGGCGAGGAGGCGCAAAAGGAGCTCCTACCAATGCCTGACAAGAATGCGAAGCCTCTAGGTATGGAAGTACCAGAGATCTATCGGAAAAAGGAAGAACCAGAGGATGATGGAGATATCGATATATTTGATGATGTTGGAGACGATTACGACCCATTAGCCGGATTGGGTTCTGGTTCAGACGACGACTCAGAGGAGGAGGAGGAGGAGGAGGAGGAGGAGGAGGAGGAAGCCAAGGCGGCGAAGCCCAAATCTACGCAGAAGGAGTCTAGCACGGCACCGTCTCAACCCTCGGGACCCAGAAACTACTTCAAAGACTCCAGGACCGGCCTCATCTCACAAGAAGAGGTCAAGGCGCCATCCTTGTCTGATCCAACGATCATGGCAGCTCTCAAGAAGGCAGCCAGCCTTCACCCCATAGGGAAAGGGGCAGATGATGGCGAAGTTAGCGATGAGGAAGAAAAGGCCCGGCTCGAGCGGAGGCGGAAGCTTCTTGAATCTACGGACCGCGACGCCGAAGATCTCGACATGGGCTTCGGCATGAGCAGATACGAAGACGAGGAAGACTTCGAGGATAGGAACGTTAAACTATCGAAATGGGGAGAAGAAGGGGACGACGGGCAAGGCAGGTCCGGAGGTGGCAGATCGAAGAGGAAACGGGGACCAAAGAAGAGAAAGGGAGATGGAAATAACGCTGCCGACGTAATGCGGGTCCTTGAGCAGAGGAGGGCAGCGGGATCATAGAAAAATTATAAATATGATTGCTGTAGTCGCTGAATGTGGAATGCCTCGCCACCAGTTGGATCGAACCCGGCTGTCGTCGGTTGAGGTCAAACCCCAGATTCGAAGTTTCAAGGTTCAATTCCATTTAAGTAAAATATTCATCATGTGACGTTAGTAGACTGGATCACAACTGGAAAGCTTCAAAACCGGAATCCCGGGACCCACAGACCATGGCCCCGTGGACCAGGAACGTGGATGTGTGAGTGAGATTGATGGGATCGTTGGATTGACCGAAGCGTCGTGAAACACGTCAAAGCCGCTTGAGCCGCGCTCATCACAGCTAACTTCACTTCCCCACATCTCATTAGATCCACCGCTGCTTTTGCCCGTGAACATAACCTTCCTCCAACCTTGCCGGGCGATTTTGGATTTCATTTGTTTTTATGGATTTTTAAACGTAAAAAGAGAAGAAAAGGGAAGAAACATTTTTAGAATGACATCTACTAAAATCCCCGTATGGCTGGATTGCGATCCCGGCCACGATGTGAGCAGAACCCCTCATTCCTCTGGACACTCCAGTGTAGATGTCTTGAATCAATGCACTCTGCAAGAGAGGATATCTCTTGCTAAAACAGCATGTGTACAATAAACAGGACGCCTTTGCCATCTTGCTGGCGGCCTACCATCCGAACACGAGGCTGTTGGGCATCTCTACAGTCTTTGGCAATGCGCCACTCAGGTATAACACCTCTCACCGCATCCGTCGCGGCACGGCTCAGAGACGGCGCATTTTCTAACGATCACTTACAGCAAGACGACAAACAACGCATCCTCCGTCCTCACAGCCATAGGTAAAGAAAAGGAGATATCCGTTTATCCCGGCGCCCACAAACCCCTCAAACGCCCGCCCATCCAACACGCAACCGACATCCACGGCGAATCCGGCATCGACGGAACCTCCCTCCTACCAAAGGGCGAGGCGCAAGTCAACACGTCAACTCCTGCGCTCCGCGCCATGGCCGAAGCCTTACTCAACGAGGCGCCCGGAACGGCGTGGCTTGTCGCGACGGGCTCGCTCACCAACGTCGCGGAGCTGCTGCAGGAGTATCCTCAGATCGCGGCGCACCTGGCGGGCCTGAGCATCATGGGAGGCGCTATCGGCGGCGGGTTCTCGCGCGCTGTTATGGGTGTTGTGAATGGGGTGGCGCGCATCGGGAATTGGTCCCAGTGGGCCGAGTTTAACATCTTTATCGATCCTGAGGCTGCGGCTTTGATTTTTGGAAATGAGGTGTTGAGTGAGAAGACGACTTTGGTGCCGCTGGATTTGTCGCATCAAGTATTGGCGACCAAGGACGTGCAGAAGATGCTGCTTTACGGCAAAGGCGCTGGGGCGCCAGCGGAGGGCAAGGGGAAATCTAAGCTGAGGACGACGCTCGTGGAGCTCCTGTTCTTCTTCGCAAAGACATACGAGTTGAGTTTCGATGGGAGAGGAGATCCTTCTTTGGTTTTTTACTCGAGCTTCTGCGCTGACAATGCCTGGTGATAGGGATGTATTTGGAATCAAGGAAGGCCCACCTCTTCACGATCCCCTCGCCGTCGCCGCCATCCTAACAGGCAAGGAACACGAAATCCCATTTTATGACTGGAATTCCGACGGCGGTCCGGACAACAGGGAACGCTTCGACATATCTATCGTGACTGATGGCGAGTACGAAGACGCGCTGACGGGTAGCGAGCTCGGCCGCACGGTGGCCACTCGGAAAGAGCCCGGAGAGCCGGGTGTGAGAATTCCGCGCAGCCTTGACATTGAGGCTTTCTGGGATGAGATCGAGGCTTGCATTGAGAGGGCGGAAAAGGCTCTGGAGAAGAGGTCACAATCATGAGAGAGTTAAATAGTTGGCTATGCATGTACAGATAATTCTTTTTTCTTGTTTCATTTCACCAGCTACAGAGTCCGATCCTGTTTCAAAGCCTGAAGATGGGCTCTGCGAGATGAAGGAAAAAAAAACTGTAAATACATGAATTTCCTTTACTCCTTTTATCTACCTGGCTAGTAGTCCCTTTTTTGAGCAGGCAAACACTGCTAATATACACACATAGACGAATAAAACGCAACGAGACATGCCTCCCTCGACCTGATATCATCATATCATACACAACTGCTTTCGCTCAAAGCTTTCGCTCAACAGCCTGGTCCAACGCCATAAGGCCGCGCAAGGTGTTCTCGTACACCCATAGCGTCACACCGCTTGCAGGCGCGTGCTTGAGCAGCGTGACAAAGAGACCCCGGTACAATCCCCTAAAACCTTCGGTGGCTAGGATGGTCCTGAGAGCTCCGACGGTACTCGTGTACTCCGGAATGTTCTTGTGGATGTATCGTCCTCGCGTCGGGCCCTGCACCTGCATTCGCTTGCGGACGATATCGAAGGGGAAGACGGCGGTCTTCGCGATGAAGCTGGAGAGACTACCTGCCAGAAACTTGTCGAAGCCCCAGGGCATCCGGGGAATGATGCGCTTCCCCTCGTCCTCGCCCTTCCTGACATCGGGAGGACGAATTGCTTCATAGGTGAGAAAGTAAATGCCCATGCCGGGGCCAGCATTCAAGAGAGTGGGGACGATGCCACGGAAGAAGCCCTGGAGTCCTTCATCTCTGTAGATCTCACCGAAAGATCGGAAGAATGATGTGTATACTCGGTCGTTTCCCTGGGCAGCGAAACGGGTTCGGAGGAGATCGAGCGGGTAAGACGCGGTTGTACCTGCCAAGCCGGCCGCCGTACCGGCGATCCACGAGATCTGGGACTCTATATGAGGGTTGGTCTTGCTATTACCGAAGTATGGGCGTATCGCCTCGGCGGTGGCACGGTATGCTGAAAACTGTGCGGCCGAATAAACCATGTACATGATCTCGGCAGGGACGTTGCCCTTCCATAGAGCTGTAAAGCCCTCATCTCTGATGATGTCTCGAGCGGTACGGACGAGGCCCTTGTAGACCGGGGAACCGGGAGGAAGCTTCATGAGCGAGAGCGGGTCGGAAAGGGAGTGGGACTGCAGCTGCAGCCGGATCTTGACGACATCAAGCGGTGCGACAACGAACCTAGGAAGGCAAAAGTCAGTCACGCACACGACCACGACGACGATTAGGGGCCTGGGCGTGAAGGGAAGGACCATCATGCATACCTCGACACCAGTCCTGCGGTCGACCCGGCTATTACAGTTTGCCATTTCGAGCCCTGCGATGCGACAAGAGTCAGATCGTTATCCCGAATTCGTCCCAAAATATGTATCGACCGCATACCTTGTCCTTTAAGTGTTGAGTCATGGCGACGTTGGAGTGGCCTCCTGGCCATGGATAGCTTCAGACGGCGACGATGATCCGGGGATGTGATTGATGGCTATGGGTAGGTTTATCTGAATGTCGGCAGGATAGAGATGAGGTGGAAAAGTCGGATTCGGGTAACCATGATGTGATACGCAGGGATGGAGGCGCGCCTTGGTAGTTCGAAGCTTCGCGTAACGTCGTCGGATAGGAGGATAGGAAGCTATGGCCTTGAGTCCTTCGGATCTCACAGAGACGCGGTGCAACGCAAGCAAGCAAGCAAGCTAGCAGAAGCAAATGTGTTGTTATCGAAGGCTCATGTTGTGCAGATGGAGCTTCATTGCAGGTTCAATGCTGAATCCATGAGGGTGCCGATAAGGAAAGTTTTGAGATTGCCAAGATTCTTTAATCCTTTATCGTCAGCTGCACTCAACAAGGATCTGGAAGAAATTGAGACAGTCTTTGGCGACATCTGGCAAAGGTTGGCTTCGGCTCTTGCCGGCCGTTGTGGAGCCATAATTGAAACGTTTGTCTGCCTTTCCAGAACACAATGGAGTGATTCTGTAAACAGTCTGTCAGAGAATGATTGTGTTTGCAGATGGTAGACGGCGAGATCGGATGATGGAAGGGCTCAGGAACGGGGAAGTTGATTAATTGAGCTTTTTGCGTGGCTGGTCGGACCTTACGCGTTGAATCCATGGATCAATTGACAGATTTCAATGGACCTGTTGGAGAGCTCTGAGTAGTGTTGAACCGCGGAGGATGCAAGTTGAGGAAGCACAGGTACTTTAGGCTGTTGATAATGATGCCAAGTTACAACTAAGCTGTCACAGGCTACCGAGGCGAGTGCGACACATATGAAGTGATCTCCCTCTGGGTTTTGTGAAGGAAAAATCTCCAGCTTCTCAGTTCGATCAATTGAAGTTCCAGTGTACTTCAGCTAAGATCAGATCAGATCGTTGAAACCAATTGCATCCGTACTATTTTGACCAGGTTTGATACTTCCCGTTGTTGCCAGTCGCTCGATGGTAACCGCCTGGCTGGCCTCAATTTCAAGGATTTAGAGTTGAAGTTTGGTACTGGAGGACCTGCCACACTCGCGTATGGACAGACCTGCTGGCCATTGCATAGCAACTCACGGTGCCTGTGTGCTCAGTGATTCTATTCGCCTCGACAAAAATAGATCTTTGATGTCTCTGGAGCATTCCCTGCGTGGAAGTGCCTACGGACATGTTCCAAAGCCGTACGGGCTCTAGTGTCTTCCGTAGATCGCATGTGTAAGGCTGCTGTTGCCAATCGACCTGGAAAGGGCGTAGGCCTGTGCGATTATGAGTAGGTTCTGGAAGACAGAATGTTGTGAGACAGCTTCCGAGATGTCAATGCCCCGACCAAGACTGTATCAAATAGTAGTAGTTGACGGGATGTCTATATGTCTGTCAATATGTACAAATCTCCCATTGGATGCCCTTCTACCGTCCTCAGGATCCAACCTCGTGCTGTATTCATTCGTACAGAGAGAAATCAGGACAATAAATATGCCGGAATTATTATGAGGATGGACATAATTTACTGTTTGCGTTTGCAAATAAAGTACATCGCGGGAAGGGTGTTTGAGCCCCGTGTACCAACATTAAACGACCCCGCGGCGTGCTTGATTGTAGCTGTAGCGCTGAGGATGCGGCGTGTGTACTTCATCCGCAGCGGTCCGTGTGCGTGTGGGTGTAGTTTGCAGTGTATTTTCAGGTGTACTTTAGTATAGTGGACTTCTAAACTAAACTCACTGATAGTGTCCAAATATTGATTGATTTGATAGAGTTAATGTTAGTGTTCAATTGATGCTCCGCGGACCCAAAGTCGCCGCCCGACGTCACAACGTCACAACGTCTCGCCGCACCAATTCTGAATGGTCGATTTTGCCCCTTCCTTTTCCCCGAGCCTCCAGTTGGAGCAGTTGGGGACCATGCCATCCCCTGGGATTGGCCAGAAGCTTATTTGGGTAGAGCCCCCGTGCTTCGCTCTGTTGCTTACCCCAGAAAGCGAGAAACCCGTCTCGACAGGAGAGGAATCGGCTGCCCGCCATCGTGGGACTATTGTGACGCCCCACCCGTCTCGTTGCCTCCCGTGTCTCTGGCTCTTTCGAAGGTGGACACGCTCTAATCTCGGGGGAGGGGAAGCTGTCCGGATCGGCATTCGTCTCCGAGGGCCAGGCTTGGATACTCCATCCATCTCTCGTCTCTCCAGATGCTTTTCTCAAACTTCTCCCTCCTCAAATCTCGCCAATTCAAGAAACTCTCCCTTGAACCCTTCCCCGACCTCGTACCCCAGGTCAACCCCAAACTATCCCTGCCTAGTCACCCCCAAGCTTCCATTCACGTACGAGGTATTGCTACACCACACCTGCAACCTCTCTTCCATTCAGGCACTAGTCGACTTTCCTCCGCGTCCCAATCCTGCGAGCCTCGAACACTTGCTTGGCAAAACACCCTCAATTCTGGTCATTTCATCGTAGCTCCAAGTCCAACCAACACCCAATCTCACGCGCGGAATTTCCAGGCAACAGAAGCACGAGAGTTGGCAACCCAGCGAAGAAGAGGGGGAAACGCCAGGCAGAGATAAAACAGGGGTGACCAAACTTCAGCCATCTCCATCATTCTTGACAATTTGTACCACGACCAACTGCGATCCGGACCGGCATGTGACAGCGTCACGATCCCATTGAATCCTCGTTGTATCGTCTGTACCTTGTACCCTGCACATTCAGTTACCCTGGGCGTGTCATAGCTCCCAAGTTCCCCGCCCAAGCTTCCTCCCAGCCTAGTCTGCGGCATTCAATACTTGGCCTACGTCCTATCTTCCACTTTCTTCTTCCGTTTGTTATCTCTTTTCTTCTCCCTTTTTCTCTTTTTCCTTGTATAAAGAGAGCCGGGTTTGGAGTTCTCGCATTTCCCTTCCCTTCTAAACCCCCATCTCAATTGTTCGTTATACGTCGCGAACACCACGATGGCTGTCTCCAGCATTTCGCCCCCCGACGCGTCCTCGCTCCTTGCCCCTCTGTTGCCAGCCCTGCCGGCGGCTGCTATTTCTACCCAGCCAGCGACCGCGGTATTACCACTACTCTCGCCCATTCTGCGCCAGCGAGTCCAGATCTTTTCGTCTTCCAATGGCGAGCCGTGGATTAGGCTGCTATCCTACGACACTGCCAAGGCTGCGAAACTCAAGGACATCGTCCAGGGTGGCAGCCTAGAGCCTCATCCCGTTTCCGGTGAGGTCGAGGTTGATTGGGATCTAGATTCTCAGACTCGCTTCAAGCGCCTCGATCAGGAAACTCTGCAGGCCTTCGTTGCCGTCCCCGGCTTACAACTTGGCTTCCAGCTAGTTTACTGCGTTAACGACAAGGATGGCGGCGGCGATGGCTGGAGGGTAGGCGAGGTCACAGTAGTCGATGGATCATCACCCCTGACTTCCTTCGGCGGACATGAGAGCATTTCCGCGGCAGAGCAAAAGTTCCGGGACAGCAACGTGCGCACCGCTCCGGTTCTTAACGGAACGGCGACTACCAACGGAGGCCAACATCTAGGCGATCTCAGTGACGATGACGACGATGACTACTGGGCTCGATATGATGCTACTCCGGCTCGTACCCCGGCTGCCAAACGTTCTCCCGCTCCTCAGTCTCTCCAATCCACAAACCCGTACCGAACCTCGTCGGCCGAGGATGCATACTATGCCCAGTACGACAACGTCCAGCCCGCCATGGACAACCACGACCCCGACGAAGAGCAGAATCTAGAAGCCATCGCCCCTCCCCTAGGTCTCGGCCGCGTTGTGTCTCACCCCACTGCTCAGGAATCCCCTGAACAGACCGAACTGAGCGAGTCCACCGGGGCCTGGACCCTCGCTGAGCCCGAGAGGTCTTCTCCCCCTCTCAATGGAGATCATTTAAATCTAGCCCACCCTCGTCCCTCGTCTAGCGCTAGCTCTTCCAGGGGCAGCAGCACCGTTGCCAAACTAGAGGAACATGCCGAGAGGCAAGTGCAGAGCGAGTTTGGCGTGAAGCAGCACGTTTCACGGAGCATCCGCAGCTTGTTCCTCCTCTCACGAGCCTCCGGCATCGACCGCGAGGAGTTTGAGAACATGGTCCGGACGGAACTTGACCTCCTCGGCCTGATTGAAGGGGAGGACTAAGTTACGCTACGATACTAGTGAAAAACGACCAAGCGTTTTGTGTACATCAAATTGGAGTATTTCTGGCGCCGCCCATTTCCTTGAGAGCCGGGCGCCAAGTGGCCGAATTTTTGCATTATGGGATGGAGTTCTTGTCATGGTATACGTTTTGGTAGCGCGGTGGTTAGGTGTTTCCGGTTCATACTTGTTTTGGCACATACTGCACAAAGGCATGCTCTCCTTTGGGAATTTGTTCTACAATATGTAGTCTTACGCTGGCGGGACGTCAATAGCATAGGAATTTGGTAGAAGTTATGACAACATAGTAACCTTGAACATGGGGACTCGAATCCTGGCACATTTCACTCGGTTTTGTTTATCTGCTGCTTCGGGCACCGCACCGTACTATCCTTCCGGTTACAGTGGGATATCAATATATTCCTAGCTTGGTCATATCCAAGCACGTTAAATACAACCACGAACGCCTCGCGCCTCCGTCGATCATGTACTGCTTCGTAAAACTAAAATTCCTTTCACCCAGGGGTCATCAAGCGCTCTGTTTCAGGTAATCGTCAACCTATCCAAAGCCATCCTCGCACATTCGATAATCTTCATACACTGAGGCTTCTCCCCCTTGCACAAGGTCATTTGTTTCGTGATTGGACTAGTCCAGTCTAACTTGTGGCCCGCCGCGATCAAAACATCCAGCTTCTCGTGCCGTAACCTAGACCGCTCTTCCAAATTGCGGACAGCCTGCGCCAAGCCAAAGTGTTCGGGCGAAGGGCTGTCGGCGCTGCAGGATGTCGTCGTCGTCGGGGTTTCGGTGTTGAACCCGTAGATCTCGTAGCGAAGGACAGCGCGCATGGCGAGTCTCCACACGTCCGGGTCGAGGTCCGACTCGTTGATGGATATGGAGAGGAGACACTCCCCCCCGTTGGCGGCGGCCAGCTCGTTCCAGACGCCGCCGAGCTGGCGGAACGAGAAGCGGAGCATGTTGTTCTGGGACTTGGCCTCGGCGGTGGTGAGGTCGATGAGCTCGAGGAGGCGGAAGTAGGCGTTGCTGAGAGAGGCTAGGAGCGTGCTGAGGAGCATCATGTTTTGGAAGGATTGCATAGGTGGTGTCGCGAGGGGGAGGTCGACGAGGGGGCGGCTGCAGACCAGGCAGTTAAGGACTTCGTGGGCGGTTTTGGCGGCGGAGCGGGTGGTGTTGATAGCGGTGGGGATGTCGTCGGATACGTTGTTGAGGGAGTCGAGGGTTAGGTAGACGCTGGATAGGCAGGGACACGTCACGTTTGGGTGTGATTTGAATTGTGATGAACTGGAGGGACTGGAATCCTGAACGGCTGGGATAACTTGGGGGTTGTGGTCATCGTGGGAGGAGACCTGTTGCGCGAAAATGTGTCTCGCAATGGCATGGAAGATTTTATGGACATTTTCTTTGTTCAACCTGGGTTCGGGTGAATCAAAGTTACTCCTGCCGCTGTCTAGAAGGTCGGTTGACGGGGGAGGGCTCTCGTCGTCGAAGCCGAGCAAAGGATCGAATTGCAACAATGGGTCGGCAAAGGTAGATGTTGCAAAATCAAAAGACGGCGTGAAGTCGTTCAAAGGCACGAATTCCGCGTTCGCCCGGCCCGGCATCGAGAGGAAGTACGGGTCCTGTGGGAGTGCGGTGGGTTGAAGGGAGCTACCGAGAGACTCGGCAGGAGGCTCCGTTGTTTGCTCCACTGGTCGCCGGCGCTTCTTTGGGCGGCCCATCGGCTTTTGTGGGGAATAGACACACGCGAGCCCTTCTCGCCGACATCGTGAACACCCGTCTAGTTCCTTGGAGCATGCGAGTTTCCGCGAGCCTTTCGAGGGTGTTATTAGCGATGTGACCCTCTCTCTCTCCGCGCATTGGTGATGTTATAAGAACAGATGGGAACACTCACGGCATTCGTCACAAGCCCTGCGCTTAACAACACCTTGGGATTTAGCAGGAGACGGAATTGGATCCGCCATCATGTCGATCCGGAACGCGCTGGTTACTGTTAGGCACTTTACTTCGTAGGTGCTTGAGTCAAGGCTAAAAGACTAGTGAGGATGAGAGATGCTCTTGGCAGAAAGGGATGTAGTACAGTAAAATAGCAACGGTGGCCTCTAGATATAAGGTATTGCACTACTTCGTAAATGGTGTTGAATCTCGAGGATTTGCTGACGACACCAGGTCAGACGCGGAAATCGGTTGGTCACCCTGATGGTTGAAGGATCAAGATCAATGCAGATGGTGCAGTGGCGAACCGCCGCTGTCAAACCTCGAAGTTATTAATCATTCCAGGTACTTATAGAACGCAACTATTTGTCCCGGTTAATAAGTAACTGAGCATAAGTAACTGAGCACCGAGAGTACATTTAATATAGTCTCAACTCCGTCTCAGGACTGGGACGGAGGATCAACGTTGGAGGGGCACAAGCCAAGCCAGGCAACGGAGTGCGAGTTTTAGTGGATGAATTGAGTCCACTACCACCCCCGTCATAAGGACACGCCAGGCACTTAACGCTCATCGTTCACAAGCTCAGCGCATTCACTCGTGCACTGGTACGGTACTCCGAAATTGTACCCCACACCGAAATGTAGGCGGTGACGGACTAAAGCGGCAGAATTTTGTTAGCGAAGGTGGGAAAGAAAAAAAAAAAAAGTTCAGAAGCTTCGATGGGTTGCAAGAACGCCTATGCTATACTCTCCTTCCACGGCTCCCAATTCAACAGAAAATCCACCTCTTGAAGCAGCCCAATTCATATCGAAAGTCTACACCCTCTCCGATACCTATACCCACCATTCAGATGCCGGCCACCGACAACCGCCGGAAGCGGAAAATTTCGCTGACGGCGGAAGCCCCCGCCGACGATGGCTTCGGCGACGGTGTTTTCGAAGGAGTTCTTTCGCAGAGTGATGATGACGACTCTGACTTCGTCGACTCTGGCTCTGGAAATAGCGAGGCCGAATACGAGGAAGGCGATCTCTCTGATGTCTCAGCGGACGAGAGCGAAGATGCTGAAGAGACGGAGGGGAATGAACTTGCGAAAGTGAACGGTGATGATGGCGACGAGCCCAATTACAGGATAACGACCGATGCCAATGGCGACGTCCGCTACGAGTACGCAGAGCTTGACCCGGTCTACGATTCGGACGATACGGACGCTGGCGAGCAGGCCAACACGATTGGAAACATCCCCCTCTCTTTCTACGACAGCTATCCGCATATTGGTTACACTCTCGATGGAAAGAAAATCATGCGTCCTGCTGCTGGCGATGCCCTAGACTCGCTGTTGGACTCGATTGAAGTCCCCAAGGACTGGACGGGTCTCACTGACCCTGCTACTGGTCTGCCTTTGCGCATCAGCCAGGATGAACTGGAAATTCTAAAGAAGATTCAATTGAACGAAATCCCTGAAGACGGATATGACCCCTATCCTGTATGGCACCGGTTTCCCTTTACCTGCCCCCCGGCTCTCTCTCTCCCTGGTGCCCCTTGCTGACATCTCGCAGGATCTCGTCGAATACTTCACCAGCATAGAGGAGAAGATGCCTCTCAGCGCTGCCCCCGAACCCAAGCGACGCTTCGTCCCCTCCAAACACGAGGCCAAGCGAGTAGCCAAAATGGTCCGCTTAATCCGTGAAGGAAAGCTCTTGCCATACAAGCCCCCGGAGGAGACGGAGAGGGAAGAGGAGGAAAAGGAAGAGGCTTGGTATGATGTCTGGGCCAACGAAGAGGCTAAGGAGCCCCACGTCATGCACATCCCTGCTCCCAAACTGGCGCCCCCGGAACACGACCTCAGCATCAACCCACCCGAGGAGTATTTGCCGTCAAAGGAGGAGAGGAAAGCATGGGAGGACGAGGAGCCCGAAGATCGCACCAAGGAGTACTTACCGACGAAGTACGATTCGCTACGGAAGGTTCCGGCTTACATGGACTTTACGAAAGAACGATTCGAGAGATGCCTCGATCTCTACCTTGCGCCCCGTGTTCGCAAGAACAGGCTCAATATCGATCCCATGTCCCTTCTGCCCAAACTGCCCCGACCTGAAGAACTCAAGCCCTTCCCCACATTATGTCAAACGACCTTTAGGCTTCATGAAGGAAGGGTCCGTAGCATCTCCGTTAGCCCTACTGGTGATTGGGTTGCGTCTGGTGGCGATGATGGTACTGTCTGCGTTTGGGACCTCAACGGGCACCTCGAATATCGAGTTAAGCTCAGCAGTGACGAGCCCGTTGACGTGGTGCGGTGGCGCCCGACCAAGGACACACTCATCATTGCTGCTGCGGCCGGAGATGACGTCTTCATGATAGTACCAGACATCGGCGTAGACAGCGTCCTCGACAATAGCCGAGACGTGCTGGATGCCGGTTTCGGATATGCTACAAACGGAAAGCAGGCGGGTGCTGGTACTACGGCCGACGGCCAAAGGACAGAGCCACCGGCGAAATGGGCTAGACCAGGCTCGAGGCTCGAGGCGCAGGGCGTGCTGCTCAAGGCAACCTTACGATCGATGGTCAAGGTGTTGAGCTGGCATAGGCGGGGCGACTTCTTCTGCACCGTGTCTCCCAACGGCCAGAGGAACGCTATCGCGATACACACCCTTTCAAAACACCTTACGCAGATTCCCTTTAGACGTCTTCGAGGTCTGCCTCAGACGGCCCATTTCCATCCCTCAAAGCCCCTATTCTTCGTCGCTACGAGGCAGGCTATCCGCTGCTACGATCTACAGCAGCAACAGCTAGTCAAGATTCTTCAACCCGGCGCAAGACACATCTCCTCCTTCGACATCCACCCCGGAGGCGACAACGTTCTCGTGGGCAGCTACGACAGGAGGTTACTGTGGCACGACATGGATCTCTCCGCGCGGCCGTACAAGACGATGCGGTTCCACCCGAGGGCCATCCGCGCGGTCAAGTTCCACAAGGGAGGGTTCCCGCTGTTCGCGGACGCGAGCGACGATGGAACGTTGCAGATCTTCCACGGTAAGGTGGTCAGCGACTTGATGGAGAATGCTACAATCGTTCCGGTGAAAATGTTGAAAGGCCATGAGGTCGTGGCGAGTCTGGGTGTTTTGGATGTGGACTGGCATACTAGCCATCCCTGGTGTGTGAGCGCGGGGGCTGATGGAACTTGTAAATTGTGGTGTTAAAGAAAAAGCTAAGGGCAAGGGCAAGGGTAAGAAGTACGTGTGGGAGGTGTAAAGCCTGCGTTGGTATGGTCAAGGGAACACCGGATCTGCGATGGGGGAGCGGTCAGAGGTGAGGCGGTGTGTGTAAGCGGGGATTGGAGGAGGATGCATCAGGGAGGGTTTGATGAGTTCTTAGGTCAGTCCGACGCAACCTCGAAGAAAACATAATACCCAGTCAAGGTCTCCCCTTTAGCAAATCCTCCGTCAAGGTCGCCTTTCCTCGGACCCTACGAATACAAGGAAAACCCTTGTCGGGGGCTATACTGGCAGAATTGCGGCCTGATAAGCCAGTGCAGCTATAACCAGTGGATGCACAAGCGGGTGGGAAAAATTACATCGACAACTTCATGTTCCTCATTGGCTCATCTCTCTATTTATCCTATGCCTTTTCGCACGAAGTTCGACCGGGCTCAAAATGACATCTCGCCCAAAGCTGGACGTCGAATAACTGGTGCGCTGTTGTCGTCGCCTTGTAAAGAATGGGGCATTGCCCCCTTACCCCCCTCGCTCCTTGTCTGCCTGGCCACGTATCTTACAGGACTCGTCATCCTTATTAGTCCCAAAATTCCCTCTTTTCTTCCTTTCCTCCGCGTGTACCGTCCCTTCCCTCTCTGCTTTTCTGTTTTTGATGGAACCTAGATGCCGTTCTTAAACTTTTTGAAGAGGGTCAAGTCGACGGCATCCGCCATGGCCTTGTAACCCGTCGGGCTCAAGTGCAGGTTATCGCCCGAATCGTACTCGGCGGCAAGTTGTTCCGGGTTCTGTGGGTCCCTGACGGCTTCGTCAAAGTCGATGACGGCATCGAAGCGTCCGGAGGACCTGATCCATTCATTAACACGCTGCCTGGTGGCCTCCATCGCTGGGTCGTTGTACACGGACTGCGAACCGATGATGGGCGTGATGGTGGCTCCGAAGACGGGGATGTTGAACCTGTGGAGCCGGGTGATGATTTGATCAAAGGCAGCGATGAGCCGATCACCGACTTCCTTCTGAGATGCCTCATCGGTTGCGGCGGTGCCGATGTCATTCACCCCCTCGAAGACGATGGCATACTTGACCCCCGGCATCGAGATGACATCGCGATCGATACGGCCCAACAAGTTTGGTCCTAATCCATCGGCAAGAACACGGTTCCCCCCAGCAGCTTGGTTAATAACGGCGATGTTTCGCGTCTCGGCTGCTCCGTCCTTCATACGAGCAAGGAGCTGGTCCGGCCACCTATCGTTCTTATCGGTAGTCGAACCCCGCCCGTCGGTAATACTATCGCCGACAATCACCACTGCAGAAGCATCTTTGTTCCTCACCTGCCCCTCGATGCTACTAATAAAGTACCAGTGCGCCGCGCTCGAAGCACCACCCCCGAGATCCGCCTCGCCGAGCGAATTCCCCTTGACGAACCACGAAGTCGTACGACTACCCGGATGAGACGTAATATCATTAGTCGTCTGACCCTTTTCGAGATACAGATCGACAGCGACGATGGACCGCGCCTTGATGGGGAAGTCGACGGGGTCGGAGAGCACGGAAGCACCGTTGGGGACGACGAAACCGGGGAGGCCTCCCGAAAAGGTGAGCTTCTTGACCGTGGTCGTATCGATGGTGCTGAGGCCGGCGTCGTTGGTGGGCGGAAGGGCGATGCTTGCAGCGGTGATGGGGAGGTCGGAGCCGCCGAAGACGTTGCTGATTTGGAGGCGGAGGGAGTCGGCGTCGAGGGTGACCATGAGGGATTGGCGGATCGTTGAGTCTTCGAACACGAGGCTGGTTTCGTTCTGGACGGACACGATGTGTTAGCTTGGGGTTTACTCTCCTCGAGTCCTCGCACACACACACAGACACACAGCCTTTGTGGATGGAGAGAGGGAGGAGAGAAAAGACCTACGAATCCTTCTGGAGGGAGGTTATGAGGCTCTGTGAGCTGGGGCATCGTCCCCCAAATCGTCAGCCACTTCTGGTCTCCGCGGGTGCACGCCTTGCTAGGCGAGGCATTGACAGTGCTGGCAAGCACGAGGGCCGCGGTAATAGCGGACTTGAAAGAGAACCAGACCATGGTTTTACTGCCGAGACGAAGAGGCGCCGATCACGATGAAAACGATGCGAAGAAACGAGCGCGAAATCCCGACGAGAGCTTGCGGAAAGTCAAGATCCCTGGGAAACCCTGGATCTTTCTCGAGAGACTTGACGCATCGTGCCCTGGGAGTTGGTGGGGAGAGATGGGCTTCATATACAGCACTCAGTTATCCCAATCTGGGATGCTAATGGCTCTTCCTCCCGGTTGAGCTCAGCAATATCGCGTTCTGTCTCGTTCTCTCCCCTCTCGTCTCCTCTCCCGATGACACCAAGAGTTGCAACCGCGCCGTCGCATTTTATCCCAATTCCCCGGTTTCCTGGGCCGGTCCCCGCAAAGAGAAGGATTTAAATTATCGTCAATACAGGCTAAAACATATTCAACCCACCGGAACGGATCCTTGAGGGTTACCCCACGAGAATGGAGACAAGGGGAAAAGAGAGGGGAGTGTTTCATTCGAGGGGTGTGAAATTGGGGAACAGCGCCTCGTCCCGGCGCGAGGATTAAGAGGACGGGAAAAAAAAGCACCGAACCAGGGTCCGGGGTTCACAAGATGAAGAGTCGATCTGTTTGTCTGGGTCAATGCGACATGGGAAAGTCTGCGCCGTGCGTCGGGTATATACATGCATATCTTTATCCTCCCTCGCATCTATCAAGTATGTTCGTCCCAACTTCTGCTGCTACCCGGTTTCTGAAACGGTGATTGATGTATTTCAATTCGCGTCCTACGCTCGTGCTGATGCCGAGGCATTCCTACGCTTGACTGCAGCTGCAATTGATGTAGGGAGTGAGTGACCCGTACTACTGGTATAACATCAAAATTGCTTCACGAACATCACGATGCGAAGTAGGCGTCACAAAAAGAAAAGGTCCAGCGGAAGCAAGCTCCGCGGCGAGGTTTAAAAATCAAAAACGCCGGCCGACTTTTTATTTATCAAAGCAACGAGACCAAACATGCCAATCAATGGACAGACAACCCGAAGCCAAGCAAGGCAAAGATAAAAACACGACCGATGCAAAATTGTAGCATAACGAACCGATCCGAAGGAAAGAGACAATAATTAGAAGAAGAGGAAAGAGGGCAAGGTATGAAGAAACGAAATCCCAAAACGGAGAGGAAGAAACACATGATATGCCCAATGCATAAAGCGATCAAAGGAGAGAAGGAAATTCGCGCCGCCGATGATGATGATGCGTATCAGAAATTCCTCTTGTCTATCCCTGGTCTAGCCTTTTTTCTTTTTCTTCTCCTTTTTTTTTTTTTTTTTTTTTCTTTTGGGGTCTCCATACCATTTGCCTCCGAAGCCCTGTTGATATAAACGGTGTTTCAAATACCATACTTTTTAAAAAGGCAAAAGAGGGGAAAATATCACAAGGACAAAGGAAAGAAAAGAACAAAAAAAAAGAGATGAAGAAAGTAGAGGGAAGAGAGGAGAGAGAAGAGAGAGAAGTATATAAAGATACGAAAGAATTCTGAGACACGTTGCATGGTCATTCATTAATACATGATAGAGACAGGATAGGTTTAACATTTGAGCGAAACTTGAACGGGAAAAGCAAAGGGAAAGCGGGTAAGAAAATACCCCAAGAGAAGGTCAAGACATCAGCAATAGATGTCAACACGCAATGGGGAGGAGACGGATAGCGAAAGAGGGCAAGAAAGGGCAAGGGTGGGAGCGAGAGTCAGAGCGAGAGCAAGCGAGGGAGAGCGAGAGCAGGAAAAGAGGGAAGAAAGTTCGGCCTTGGTCGTGGGGATGGGGAGCTTTCAAATGAAAGCCATGTCTACCCCGGGGCCATTTCCTAGACTCCCGGCAGCGGGACGGAACAATCATCCCACTCGCTGTCCGTATCAAGATCTATTTCTAGATCCGAGGGGTATGTTCTGGGCGAATTTCCGCCAGCGAAGAAGACATCTTCACGGTGGTTGGGCTGGTTGGGCCCGCCGTGGGAGGGAACATCGCCGCCTTGACTGATGGGCATTCCGCCATCTTGCGCGTCGTTACCGTGGTCGCTCGAGGAGTCGGTGGATCGGTCGTCTTTGTGGGCGATGGTGGAGTCGGTCAGTTCCTGGCGGGAGCTCTGCCAGTCTTCGAGCAGCAGCTCCTCTTGGTCGACCAAGATGACTCGATTCATGCCGGACGCGTAGGGGGTATTCGAGACACGAGCCGTGACCACGTCGATAAAGTTGGAGGGCATGTTATCGGCCGTGCCGTTGAAGGCGCTGCCGCTCGTCATCCATCCGTCGAACTGCTGAAGAAAGTCAGGACCACTCCAGGAACCATCAGGATGAGCCGACCCGTCGAGCTCGTCTGTAGGGTGGATGTTCTCCGGGAGCAGTTGGGGTGGATCTTGGCGCGGTGCATCTGGAACGAGCGACTTGTCACCCTTCCTCTTCGTTGTGCTGGAGGGCATGTTGGGCTTTCGGTTGGACATGGCGGCGGAGCTATGGTGGGGCTGGGGGAGCACGGAAGCGGTGGAGGAAACGGGGGAGAATCGAAAGACGATGGATGGCAGCGTGGGAAGATAATGATAATATGGAGGAGAAAGGAGAGAGTGTGTGTTGGAAAAGGGTTATCACGACGGTGGAGGCTATCGGCATATAACGAATCGAGGAAACGTGAGGCGGTAGATGGCAAGACGCAAGTCTTTTAATTTGGGGATGCAGGGTCGGGCTTGATTGATTGATGATGACGAGTACGTGGGTGAGCGAGATCCGTATGCGCATTCGTATGGAACATGCAAGGTCAGCCAGTCAGGTGTCCTCAAACAGAGTGATGAGGTGGAAAGGCCGTTAAGAGCACGGCGAAAAGGAACGAGGAACTTGGGGCAACTGTTGAAGCTATCACCGATGGATGGGGCGGGGGGAGCATGATTTTATGAAATATTGATCAGAGCTGTTGACGAACCTGGATGAAGCAGAGGCACGAGCTTGTTTGACCAAGTGCTCCTCTTTCCTTTCCTGGGCACTGCCACTCCGCAGTCGATTCCGATTGATCTCGACTCCATTTCCCCTTCCACTCACCCCATGGTCACCCCTTTCAGCACCCCCTTCCCTTGGACCCCTGCTAGAGCAAAGATACTTCGTACATCGAGATGTTCGGTGTTACGTAGGGTAGTGAGACCCCTGCAGTGGGTCTTGGTTGGTCTTGCAACGCCTTCTCTACTTCGTACTTCCTTTCTTTTTCTTTTTTCATTTTTTATTCGTCTCACATCCCTCCTCTCCTTCGAAAGGGGCATACATTGAGGAATACGGAGCGGGGCGGACGGGAATGTAGTTTATTACCGAAGAGACGATGAATCTCTGCGGGGGTCCAGGTAGCAAGGTAGACGTCGGGACCTGTGCAAATTGATGAGGAAAATGAGTTCGTCGGTAAATTATGTTGGCAGGCAGGCAGGCACGTTTACTAAAACTGAAGCGTATTTTGGCGACGTCTCTTGGCATGACGAAAGTCCCAACAGAACAGTGAGAGCTCAAAAGAACCGTGGCGCCAGTCCATCAAAGAGCCCAGCTGTATGGAACGCGTCGTAGCGGTCGTTGTAGTCGACGTCTCTCCTCGCCTATTTTTTTTTCTTTTCTTTTCTTTTTTTTTTCTCCCTTGCGGCATCTGTAATTGATAGTTTGATAGGTATTGTTCATGCTTTGGATCCGTTGATTGTTCTCGCCAGGCCAGGCCAGCAATGGATTCTCGCCGGTGTTGGAAATAAACAGGTAAGAGGCTGTGAGGGTGAGGTCAAACCCCCTCATCAGGGAATACTACTGGCACAAAATCCAATACGAAGGTAGTACATGATGGGGTACTTCGTGCCATTTCCACTGAAAAGAAGAAGGTGTGCGAAGTAAGGCGAACCCGCAACAGGGGTTTGGGGGTTGGCGGACATGGGGTCGTGTCTTGATCATTGATGCGTGGGTGGCGCTGAGAATGCATGCCCAGAATGGGAGGACGGACGAGGGTGGACGAGGGTGGAGGAACAAAGGAACAAAGGAACAAGGGAGCAAGGGGGGGAGTGGAAGGGGGTGGGGAAAGAGATTGTGGGAAAATGCATTGGGGGTTTCTGCGTGGAGTGCCACCTTCTTCACCTCTTCGCTACAAAAGACGAACTTGTCGAGGGGTTGTCGAGGGGTTGTCGGTTGAACTAGGATGGTTTGTGGCTCCAAATTCGACAGAGCTGTGCTGGTCCCGGTGCTTTTGTCGACTTGCCTACAGTACAGTTTCGAGCTCGTCATCGCACACACATCAAATCCTCCCTGTACATGGGCAGAATCGACAGAGTATGCAGGTCCTCTCCTCTGCATCTCCTTGTGGAATCCAAGCAAGGCAGCGCGAGACACTTCTACTTCGTAGTTTTTTTTCATCTATCCAGAATCGAGAAATGGGTGGAAATGGACACTTCTCTCTCTTTAGGTTTCCGTGAATCAAGACTCATTCTTGAGGAGCTGAAAACGAAGAGGAAAAAATAGTGCCCTAAAAATAACAGTAAAAATAGAAAGAAGCACATCAAACAAAGGGAGCTACGAAGCAGGGTGGTGAATTTCGCATCGAAGGAGAATGAAGCCTCTGTTTCTTCTTCTGAACGTTTCTCAAGTGGTTTCGTTCCTCGGGCGGGATTGGCTTAGGTGGACAGAGAAGGGCGTCAGCATTGAATCGTACTTGTTTACTTCGTACACTACAGCGTACAGCGGCCTGATTATCTCCCGCATTGTGGTGAATTGAGTTTTAAATCTTACTCGTTTAGGTTTAAGGGCCACACTACACTACCTACCTCAGTACCTTCAGTACCTTACCCAAGTACACCTGTTGGAACAACAGATTTAGCTCCACGGCTCCAGAGTGGCATTTGATGTCACTCATTTTTGGCGTAGTGGGTTGAGGGTTAAATCCAACAACACCCCCCCTTCGGTAATCTAAATTAGGGTGGACAGACCAAGGGAGGGTCAAACTGCCAGTTTTTTTTAACGCTGTGCTTGCCGCGGGCCACCGATTAATCTGTGCTGATCTCAAGATCAACTCCCTTCCGCTCCAAGTGCCGGACCAGAGCAGGCCTCACTACCAAGTACGAAGTACCAACACCAACGAGAAGAAACCTCCGCCCATCTCGTCTTTTCAATGTTCAGTGTTCTTTCCAATGCACCAATCAAACTCGGTGCGCCAGATCCGGCGGATGCCCAATGACAACGTCCACATAGCACTGATCAATTGATTGATCATTGATGACAACAAAACGTCAGGGAGTCGGAGCTGCGCACTATTCATGGCCGCCGCTAAAACGCCGCGAAACAGCTTGTACCAAGATCGATTGATCAAATGTTTCAAGTCCAATGTTCTTCTTGAAACTTACAAACCCAACGTATGTAGCCATCAATGATGTTCTTCTTGTTTGGTCAAATCCTACAAAGGCGAACCCATCACGAACCAGTAGAGTCCCGCCCGTCCTAGCCGAGAAGAGTACACCCACTAGTCACCTGCACAATTGATCAAATCGATTGAATTGATCAATCTTTCCCAGATCATTTTATTATTTTCACCATGATTCCCGTCAATGTGCACTGCCCTACAAGAGTATCACTAATATAAACCCCTCTACCTGTGTACTTGTGGCTTATACTTCCGATGCAGCCGTCTGGTGGTGCAGGGGAGACCTAGGAGAGGAGACACGAGCGCCAGGCAGTGTGAGATGCCAGTTTTTCTCACGGACGCGGCACATGATAAACTACAACCCACTCTCAATTAGTTTACTGCTCCAGAATGCAAGGCGACTGCGACTGGCACCAATTCCAGCTGAGTGGACTCTTCGAGGTACAGCGGGTGGACGGATGATGACCATGTCACTACGCAGGTACGTACTCCGTACTCCCAGATGGATACGCAAACACCCCAGTAGAATCGGCGCACTTGTGCGTTTCGATTTTCTCTAATTCTAACAGAAATGTGGGCTCTTCTCCGACGCCGATATCCGGGTATTGGTTCGATTCCCTGCCAGTGACAGTTTATTACGTATCGCCTGGCTGCGAATGGGAAAGGGGGGCGTGTATTAATTTAGAAGTTCCTGGGGAGCGATGGGGGGTAAGCTCCACGAGCAATGACAAGCCAAGGCAAAACACTCGCATCCCGCCATCGACGAGGGTAATTGGAGAACTGCCTAATGGCTTGCTGTCAACTGTTCAACGCACGACTAAAATACATACCTTTGCCTCTGAATCGGATCCCTGATCGTAGTTCACGTTCTTTCACGAGAAGTGGAGTATCACTGTACTATCAAAGTACGGAGGTGGGATTCTAGGACTCTAACGATCTTCTCGAGAGCCCTAGGACCTAAACACATCAATTGATCAGTACGTCGCGAAACGCGGGCCCTTTCCCACCCAGCCTTTTTATCTCGTCTGAACATTCGACGAATTTGTTTCTCTTCGCCTACCCGAGCTTGTCTTTGGTGCACGATATAGACACTCCCAGAGGAAGGGATGCTCCCAAACACCTGCACCCCACTCCCTGGGTCGGCCTTTCTGTCAAATATGCGTAGTAGCAGAAAACTACTACTTCACCTCCGACACCGTTCCATCAGCCCATTCCTGGCCAGGCCACTATCTCCGACAGGCTTGGTGGCTCACCCCCAAAACCCCGTCTCCCCCTGCTAGGCTTGCCCTGCTCTTCACACCAAGTCCCTGGGGCAGCCACTTCCGCTCCACCTGAGACAAATGAGGCGTCGAGTTGAGTGACGAAGATTCGTTGCTGTGTGCGTACTCGTTCCATCCTCCATCCGTAAAAAGTCCGCCAACTCATTGGACAAGGCGGCCTTGTGGATGCATTTTCCGCCGCCTTTCCATCCCATCATCATGAGAGAATATTTCGTTGACATCGACATCCCGGGGCGTGTGACGGTTCGGAGCTGGACCCTTGTTTCGCCCTTCCGAGACTACTTCGTGTCTGTCTTACCCCGTCCACTGACGTTGAAGACTTCCACATCCAGACACAGCTTCCCCAGTCCGACTGACCTGGACACGGTTTTGATAAATCCGCATGGTGATTTGTCGCGCTTGCCTTTTGCCTCTTTGCCTGCATGAAGCTAAGACTTGTGGAGACATTGAAGCTTCCACTGCCACCACTCAAGATGGTCCGCAAGCTGCTTGCCCACCGAATGCACCAGTTTGCCCGTATCAGCATCAAAGAAAATGGATGAAAAGATATCCATGGCACAGGCACCACCCAAGCCGTGGGGTACAGTTCCTGCTCTTGTCACCACACCACCACCCCCACGGGTTCCGTTGTCACCTCGATCTTGACGGGTTTACACCTTTTTTGGGATCACGCAGATCCGGGTAAGTTGAAGTGCCCGCCTTAGGAAATGATGGGTAATACTTCAATTCTAAGACTTTGCTGTAATGATAGAGTACATCCAAGTTTAGACACAAGCTCGGCTAGGTTCGGGTTCTCCATCGCTTCTTGACAGACGACTCGGTCCGCCTGCTGAGAGAATGAAGCCATCCTGCACCACCCCGTTGCTCTCGTGGCCAGGTTCCTTGCCTATTCCTAAAAGTGAGACATCCATGACCCTTTCGCCCAACCTCTAACCCAGTAATTGGCTTCCAAGACCTCACAAGTCCTGTCCTACCCTCGAGACCAATCATAGGTGCTTCATCATCCCCAACTTTTAATCCCTCATTGTACGCCATACCACAACGTTGGGTATCTGCAAGTGCCGGAAGCAAACAAATGAAAACCAGTAAAAGCTAGCGGGAGGTGACGGACAAATCAAAAGAAACCTTCCAGCGATGTGACATGTGACAGGCGTGAAGGCGCAAGCTTGGTTGGAGCTTACGGCGCCCCCACCTTTCCGCTCTTCTTTTCCCACCTCTCACAGCGCTCGTATCGGAGGACCCTCCGGACCGGCCATCGGTCACCCTCTCATCCCGTTCCCGTCGAGGCGCCTACCGTACTCGTCTTACGACGGAGACCAGCCGCTTTGAATCGCCTAACGACTTGATATGATCTATCAAGCTCGTTTTCGATGGCGCAACGTACCCGCAACGCCGTCACAGCTTGATACACGCTCCTCTCTCCCTTGAGTATCCAATAGTCCAGCGTTTGCCTCGTCGGCTGCTCGAGAAGCCTGCTAAAGTCCTCCAAGCTCACCTGCGGAACGAGCGTCAGGCTCGCACCCAGCACGCGCTCGTCGACCAGGAATCTTCTGATGCTGACGGGAAGGAGACGAAGAGTGTCGAGCTGGCGGAGGCGGTGGCGAACCTCCAGCCCGACCATGCGGACGAGGAAGCTCGTAATCTGCGTCGTCCGGCTGCGCGTTTCCAAAAGCGATGGGCCGTGCATGTCGCTCTGCAAGAAGGGGATGAGGTAGGGCCGAGCTTGGGATACAATGTAATGATTAACGTTTAGCAACTCGGCCACCCGGTGGAGCGGGGATTCGCGGTCGGTGTACGAGACCCTGCTCCAATGGCGAAAGTCAATGGTGCTTCCGGGAGGCGCCCAGTCGACAATATTGCCATAGGCATCCTTGCACAACAGGTTCGTTCGGCGGTGACCGTAGAGAGATGTTGAGCTAGAGTTTGACGCAACTGCCGCAGTCCATATAAGCTATTCGAGAGTAAGTTAGCCAGCTGGCTGTGTTTCCTTGCAAGGAAAGGAAGGGGGAAGAAAAGTGTTGCTGTATACGTACAACCTTGGGAGTAGTAATATAGTTCATTAAAGTGGGCACACCCCCATCCTCCCCTACCGCCACCGTGATGTTGAGCACCCTCTTGGTTCTATTAAAAGCCTCCTCGAAGGTTAGGTCCCCCACATTGGCACGCACGCACTCTTCCAATACTCGCACATCCAGAAAGTGGCCTTCACGGATGAACCTATTGATCCGTCGTTTGAGAGTGGCCAGTCGTGTCGCCAGAGGCTGCACCTCCGAATCGCCGAGCGTCTTCCCGGCGAATGCGGACAGGTCGATACCATCCCCCTTTAAGATGCGAGGAAGCTCTTCCATTGTGTGGATGGAGACGAGAGCTGCGATCAGCGCTCCGGTGCCAGTGCCTGTGATGATTCTGGGTAGTAGGCCGCGGAGGAACAAGGCTTTCACCACACCGAGATGGCACAATCCAAATACGGCCCCTCCTTGAAGAACAAGCGTGCTTCTCCCGAAAGCCTGTCGCGTGTCGTGGATAAAGTCCAATTTCATCTGCATCGTCAACGCGGGAGCTCCGTTACTATCGCTGCGAGCTCCGGTAGCGGGTACGGTGGGCAGAGAGCTAATCTCCTCGAGGCACTCTGCGATCTGCGCAATGTATTCCTCGATGAGATACTTGGTGCCCGCGAACGCTTGGTTGTACAGTTTGGGTGCTGTGATATTGCCGAGGTTCCTGATTAGACCACTCCGTAAGAAGTTGATCATCTGATAGAGGTTGTTCTCCTCTCTCAACGTAGCTAGCGTATTAAGACGCTCGTTTATGAGGTGGTAGTCGTAATACTTGGAGGTCGGATTGTTCCGCCAGAGGTCGAGGCCGAGAAGGCTGTCGAGGTGGAGGGCAGCTTCTTCCCAGTCTTCAAAGGTCTCGGCATTGTGAAGGAGGTCCAACCAGAGCTCAACCGGGCTCCTTCTATGATGCCATTCCCATAGTTTCTAGATCCCAAAATGGATAGTTAAGCATAGGTGAGCCACGCGGCAGAGAGAAGATCGATCGAAACTTACCTGCCACCAATATCCTGCCACGTCCAACAACATCCGACTCACAGCAACAATCATCCCGAGGCCGAACATTGTGCCACGGCTTGGATGATGCGATTAAACCATCAATTGACTTCCGAAGAATGACTAGACTTGACAAGCTAACTTAGTACAGAGCTGGAAGGGTCTCAAGGGACGACCAAGAGTCAGGGCAAAGGCTCCCATGATCTGAAGAAAATACTGGAATTTGGGATAAGACCGGACGCAGCCCTAATTTAAGTGCTATAGTTTGAAGGACATTGGAGTCTGGAGTCGCGTGGGTGGGAGGAACAATGAACCAGCCTTGATTACGAGTGATGTTGAGCACCGATGCCATGTGATCGTCTGTGGGGTTGACCACATCGAAGGAAGTTGCCGAGCGGGTGGCAACCATATGTACAAGTACGTACTTCTATCGAGGTCTTAGTGTAGTGGACTTCGACGTTGCACAGTGTTCCTTGTCCCTCAACTATACTAAACTAGAGCTGTTCAATTGCTGAAGCTCTCCACTGCGGGGCCCGAACGCCAGGCTGGCGCCGATTTGGCGCGCAACACACCATTTACAGGGGGGTGTAGCCTAGCAGGCCAGGCTCTGTGAACGGACAGGGACTGGGGCTAAACTCTTCTCAGCGACCTACTTCACTAATTTTGGAGATCTTCACCGGGTAGCGTTGATCAACACTGCAATACTCCGTACACTACACAGGGTACACTCACTCCCTCAGAATAAATCCTCCGATTCGTCCTTTCAATGACATGGGGGAGTTGAATCTTGTCGAGGAGAACACCTCAAGCAGCAGGATCTTATACATTTCACGCAAGATTCTCGGAAGCCGACAATAAAAGCGCTACACCTTTCAGAACGATGGTGTGAACTTGTTCCCGAGAATAGCTTTACCAACCTGTCGACACGTATTATACCGCAACACCATCAAGGCTCTACGAAGGAGGTTTACTGAGCAGAATGACGTCATGCTGGCGGCGCCAAAGTTGACCGTGGCGTGGTCAGAAGCTGCCAAGCATTTACACCAGGCACGGACCTCATAGCGAATAGGTCGCTTCATGAGGCAGGGAGCCGACAGCGAGTAAATGGTATCTGTCAAGTGTTTGGGCAGCCACAGGCTGACCACCACAAGTGAGGCTAGGGGAGAAAACCAAAGAGTGTGATTATCTTCCTTCTGAGCCCGATCTAAAACCCGGACTTGGTATGTGCGGACCTTCAGATCCAAGAGTCCTGGACAGTGTGTTATAGGAGGGAGGTGGTATACGATATTACGACGCGGAAAGGCGCCTACCCACTCGGCCATCTAGCTCAGGATTCAGGGCAGCAAACTCGAGCGCACCCGCTTGCTTACAATTTACAAGTCTTCTCATCAGGCGTGGTGACAGCAAGATGACCGACGCTGGTGTCAATCGCCTATATATTGACATCGGTCAACGGAAAGTTACGGGCTTGTATGTCAAATTCGCTTTACCACTTCTCTGAATGGGCTTATGATAATCACACAGCATATGTCTATAAAAAAGCTGAATGGAACTGATAGAAATAGACCAATGTTCAACCTCAAACCAAGGGGGAGGAGGAGGTGGTGGTACGGGCCGCTCAGGCATCGGCGATTCAGCGTCAAAGAAGATTTAAAGGTGGGGGGCTGGTGCTCAGCATTGATCATGGCAGAAGTTTTTACAAGTCTTTTTTTCTTCTTCTCCATTTTCCCCCCTTTCGTGATGACTACGATGGCTACGCGGGATGCTCTCTGTATCACCTAGGAATAGGAAATTAGTCGGCGGATATGAAGGATCTGTGATGGCGATGGCCTATATAAACAGCTTGCCCTCGTGACGACGAGATATATCCACCATTCCGAGCCCAACAGCCAGTGCCATCTCTGCCTGTAGTGCTTACAACCATGCTGCGTACATCAAACCCCAAGGCAATTATACATAAATCTCTTCACCGCTGCACTAACGCCATTGCTCGAAGCACACGTGTAGAACTAACTCGAGTCATGATGGAGGTTCGATTCCGTCGCGGTACTACTGATCGAGATCTGCTAATAAATGTTTCGTAACCTTAATGGATTCATGAACCACAACGAGGTATCGCATGCCTAGCTCGCAAAAGAAAAAGAGGCCCGACTCTGTGCTCTTTGATGTTGGAGTTCATACTCAAGGTCTTCTAGACTTCATCGTCTATGGCTTGCTTTTTCTTAGTCTTGAGTATAGAGATAGAGAGGGCTTAGTTCATGCTAAATAAAGGAGTAAGACGACCAGAAGACCATGTCTAGTCAGGGGAATGTGCCCAGGCTGCTGTCCCCTGTTGTAAACCATTTTCCCTTGTAGTATGATGCTTTTTGATAATGAAATGCTAACGATTAAGATCAGTGTATGGGCTAAAATCCTTGGGCGGCACCGACACCACTATGCAGCTCGTCAGTGTCATGCGTCTGGTACTGTACCTGAATAGAGCGGCGGATAGCGGCTTTGTCGAAACGATTCATCTCCCACAAACTTGGATAATGACTGGTCGGCATGAGATGCTGTGTTGGCAAACGGCCTTTCATGTGAAACAGATTTTTCTCTCTCGGACGCTTGCGATGTTCTTTAAGGGTTCGCTCTAACATACCTCAAGTTCCACATTTCATCTGCCAAACACTTACATCCATGCCTACTTCCCCCATCTCCGGTTCCTTCCATCTGGTAGTTCCTTTCTCTATAAATCGACCCTCATTTCTCAGCGAAATTCATCCAAGACGAACTCTTTTCTCAAACTTCTCAAAATCGACACTCTTCACCTCCTCGCACACTTCCACGCATTGGCCACCCACTTACATCGGCTTCCAAGATGTCCCGACAAAACCCACCCCCTACCAACTCATCAGCAGGAGAGTCCACCCTCTACTTTGCCTATGGCAGCAACCTCTCCCTCTCCCAAATGGCCAACCGATGCCCGAACAGCAAATACATGGGACGCGCCATCCTCGACGACTACAAGTGGATAATCAACGAGCGACGCTACGCCAACATTGTTCCCGCCCCTGGACACCGTGTTGAGGGACTCGTGTTCGAGCTCGGCGGTGACGACGAGAAGCGCCTGGATAGAAGTGAGGGGGTATCTAAGGGTGCGTACGGCAAGGAGAATCATGTCGTGAGGGTCTACCTTTCTCCCACGCTGCTATATCGCGTGCCGACGGTGTCTATTATTCGCGACGGCGGCCCTGAATCGGTTATCGACAACGCGAAGTGTGAAGGCAAGGATGTTACGGAGAATATGGCATCGCTGGAGATGAGTGTTCTTGTCTATGTGGATAGGAAGAGAGTTGGTCATGGGCCACCTTGGGAGGAGTATGTTGGTCGGATAAAGACTGGTGTTGTGGATGCTGTGGCCCTTGGAGTCGATTCTTCTTATTTCTCTAGTTCTGTTCTCCCACTCCTTTTGGAGAAAGAGATAGACACTCATGTGTCATAGCTTCAGCGTCGTGGAGCACGTTGGGATCGCGAAATGGGGAAGCGCAGTTTTGAGGAATGCGAGATTTAGTGTATTTTCCAGGTCACACGTAAAGCTGATTCTGACAATGATGTCGTTGTCGAGGTCCAGTAGGATAGCCTCCGGAGGCCCACCAAGGATCTTGGGGTTTTTTTAATCGTCGGTGGAAACTAGCAAGGAAGTTCTCGTCGGCATCTTCGGGGGAACCTAGTGTCCGTGGCTGGCTAGGTTCCGCACTCATGCAGGCTTGAAGGCGGCGGCTGCTCAGCCGCGTGAGGTAGCTACCCCACCGGGCACCATGGAGAAAGAACCAGTATCCCAGCCAGGTGTGGACATAAATGAGCGCGTTCAGAGCTGTCGCGCCGCCGAATGGAACATGACGGAGTTGATCGTTGGATGAATCTACGACACTGGAGAACTCGTTCCTTCCACATCCACAAGAGACTCGGGGTCGAGTATGGGACGTCCGAGGGGAGAGGATCTTCGCCTTGCTCGATCGATGGCAGAATAGAGTTGTCTCCATTTATCATGGGCGGAGAAGCTGGCGGAGAAGCTAGGGGTTGGGCCACGGTTGGAGAAGAAACTTCCAACTTGATTGCCGGAGGGGAGGCTTCTTCGTCGGTCATCGGGCTGGTCTCTTGCTTAACCCCTGCTCCATGTCGTAATCGACCGTTAGGAGGAGCTGAGTTTAGCTGAGATGGATTTGCCATGGCTGGATTCTAGGAGAAGATGGAGCGATGCTCGGTGTAGGTGTGTTATCAAATGAGAGGAGAAAGGGGGAAGGAGGGAGGATAATACGGGCAGGAAGTATTGTAGTCACGCTCTTCGTGTTGGTCTCTTGAGAGGCAAGATCGACGTCGTAGAAAGTCGAGGCTAGTAGAATTGGCAAGGAGTCCTTGGTAGTACCTCCTTCGCAGGGGCGATCGCTTAAAGCGACGATAATCTCAATTCGTAGCTGACGACGGACCACGCCAGATGAGGCATGTGTATGTATTATCATGCATTTCTGTATCGACTAGCCTTTGTAGAATAGTTTACATGTCCAGCTCGACCCTAGACCCTGATACGCCCGTAACCCCTAAACAAGTTTTGTTGTTTTAATGCGAATGTTTGAAACCAGAAACCAGAAACCAGGACCCTTTACTCATCATCATCATCAATGATATTGCGCCTCCTCGACCTCCCGGCATGCTCACTGATAGTAGCCGGGGCCATATCATCCTCTTCACCATCAGCATCCTCCTCTTCCGACACATCGGTCGTCTTCTGCCTCTTGGTCCGAGGCCTATCTTCCTCGTCCTCATCTTCATCGTCAAGGACCTCTTCTTCATCCTCATCTTCATCCGCCTCTTCCTCCTCTTCATCACTAGGAGCAATGAAATCATCTGCGAGATCGTAGTCTTCCTGGTGACGCGCTCCAGCAGGCCGTTCATCATCCGAATCATATTCGGGTCGACGTCTCTTGGCCTTTCCGCCCGCCGCACCGCGCTTCCTTCCGGCTCCGGATGCTCGGCGCGAGCCCTCAAGATCGTCAATTTGAAGGCCGCCACGACCGTAACGAGAACCACCATCCATCTTTGCCGCGGCGTTGTCACGACGGCGTTGGGCTTTGGCGCGCTCCTTCTCGGCCATCTCCGCAAGCCTGCGTTGTAGTTCAGGATCGTGGGTTGTCTTGATGATTCTACTGGCTTCCTCCTTCTCCTTGATTTCCCGCATGCGCATGGCAAGGCGCTGGAGAGCATCGTCTTCGAGGTCTTTGTTGATGCGAACCGTGTATTCTTCGGCGATGTGTCCGACGACTAGGAAGAGGCCACTGCTCAAATGCGCCGCGGCGGCATAAGAATGGCCGTCCTGGAGCTCGTTGTAGGGTTTGTTAGGGGGTGGGACGGTCGCCTTATTTTGAATGGCAAAGTGCTGGTCGCCGACTGTCATGGAGACGGATCCGTCGCTCCACTTGTACATCATCGCGTTGCTCTTCAGTTCTCCGGTTTCGGGGTCGTTGTAGTATCGGACTGCGATCTTTTTGTTTCCAGATTTTGCGTTCTCGATATCCCAACTCGATGGCTCAAACGACTTGGATTCGTACGGTTCGGGAACGAATTTGATGAAATTAGGGACCTTGAGAGATTGGAGCTAGGAGCAGGAGAGAGTCAGTACGAGTGCCGCAAGAAACCGTAGATACAAGTGTAAAAAAAGCACCGCATTGTTTCTCTACTTACTGTGCCGTCTTTGGACCTGGGCGTCCGATGCCTAAAGACTTGGATACTAGCAATGACTTTATCTTGGTGGCGCGGAGCGTCCTCGTCGCTCCCGTAGCCCACGACATCGTCGGCCCGCTCCGCGTCAGAATCAAGGTCCTTGTCGCTCAGAACCTGAGCCGGTGGAGAACCACCAGCATCGTCTTCGTCGCCGAAAAGATCGTCTCCCTCATCAACGAGGTCAAGAGGCTCCTCGGAATCGGACATGGTGGATGGGGGCGCGTCGCAGTACGAGGATTTATATAATTCCGTCGTGAAAAGGCGATTGAAGGATGCCGATATCAGCGAGGTGCTATTTGAACGCGGCGGATTGGGGCAGGGATGAAGGGGAAAAGGATGGCAAGAGAGTTGGGTGGCGGTGATGTTGAAGATGTTGAAAGTTGAAGAAGCTCCTTCGCAAGGCTCGAGATGTGAGGTGGGAAGATTTAGCTTTGGCGCTGCTCCAGTAGGTGGCGGCTGGTGGCACGTGTAGCTATTCAATCGCGACTGCGCGAAGACGCATAAATGGTGACATCTACTACCAGTTGTTAACAATTGTCCAGAACATCGCCGTTTCATCCGTGCCCAATCTCATGCCCCTCGCCCAACCACACTTCGCGCTCATAGGCCCCACACTAATACCCCTCGGTGGGGACAGTTTAAGTTCCTAAACTCGAACGGTTCAATCAAGATCAATTTGAAGTTCCTAAAAGACCCCAGCCCAGACTGTGGCTGTTGGCAACAAATGGCAGGTCGCTCCGTGCCCCCTTTCGTCTTCAGGAGCCTCCCTAAATATTATCAGACCTTGACTAGCATCAACCTCTCATTCCTTCATATACCTTACTCAATCGCCGATCTTCTTGGTTGATCGGTCCAGCAACAGCGAAACGTAACGACTTCTGGAGTGTGTGATCGCCAAAACATCTTCCTGCTGGTCCAGAGCCCGTGGCAACTTTATCGCATTACAATCGCTGCCTCTCGCTGAGGTTTGGCGCCCAAAGTCGAGCCCCCAGATTCCTATCTTGGTCTCTTGCCCATCGTCGCGTGCCCTCAGGCCCCTCCTTCATCCGTTTCACTGCGTTACCTAGCACCCGAATCAACCAACAATGTCTAACCTATTTTCGGGAATGTAAGTCTTTTCTCACTTTCTGTCTCCATGTCTGCCTCCAAATTCTTTTGGCCCTTGTTTTCTTCTTCTTTCCTCCGCTGTCTTATGCATTCGCAACACCAGCTGTGATACATCTCACAGCTCCATGTGAGCGTGGTGGGGATAATATGAGGAACATTTCGAGCTCCAAATGAGCCTCCCGGATCCATTCGGAACTTAACTTAGCCAAGCGCACATCCCCATTCCTAACTGATCCCTAATTCCCTTCCGTATAATACCTCGCCAACAACCTAGCAAGGAACTAGGAAAAGGTGCCTCTCAATTTAAGACACGCGGCTCCCCAGACGTCCAGGAGCGATCATCGAGCTCCTGATGCCCCGCGCTTGAACTCCGGGAGGCTTATGACACCCTGAATCCTACCCTACCTCTCGGAATATGCTGCCGGATTGCGGCTATGCTACTGTTGTTGGCAAGATCGGTCCAGGACTCAAGACCCTTTTTCTTCCCGTAGCCGGGCCTCTCTCAGAGATATACTAGCCACTTTACTATACATATCTCACGGCTGTTCTGCTCGTGGACATCGCACATATTTTGGTCCCTTTTTGTTCAACTGATCATTTTTCCTCTTTCTCTTTCATCAGTTCGTTTCTCACTGTTGGGAGTCGGAACTAATACGTCGCTGCTAGAAACGCCCGCTTTCGCGGTACGAGCAACAGACCTCCTGGCCAAAACCGGAGCCCTACGACCTCTAACCAGCCTTCTCCCATTGTTCTTCCCCAAGGGAACCACTCATCCTCGAACCTCGCCCCTCGTGTTCCCCCTTTACCTACTTCACCCTCTCTGGCCCAAACCATTGGCATGGATGAGAACAGCGGGATAATGTCTTCCACGGATGACGCCCTAAGTGCCTATGTTCTGCCTAAGCCCCTCCCCCTCTGGCTCAATCCTGCCTACGCGAAACATATTGTAAAGGGTAACTTCATGACGTTGAGTGCGCGACCCAAGACGGTTGAGCAGGGTGAATGGATTGCTCATCAAGGTGAGTTCCACGCACGTCTGAAGATGCTATGTCTCCCACGACTACTAACATGATTGAGGAACATAGTGGTTGAGCACTATCGAAACCTCTGGAACTTTGTTCGTGTTCTTCATGAGAAGGAAGATGACGGCTCTGTTATCTGTAACTCGAAGACTTGCCCGAAAATGTCCGCCGGAGCGTAAGTTGCAAACTGCTGCATCCCAGTCCTGGTGGTCCTTTACTGTCATGTGTCTTAAGAGGCCTTTTTCGTGTGTGTCTTTTAATTTCCCCTAACGCAAATGTGTAGGAACCATTCATTTACTTGGCTTAATGCCATGCGGGAGCCTGTCGAGTTGCCTGCCCATGAGTATATGACCCTTATGCAGCGTTGGATCTCCGGCAAAATTGACGACACCAATATCTTCCCAACTGATGCCGCCGGGGTTTCGTATGCTCACAACCCAGCCATCACCACTACACCCCTCTCGCAGCTATCGAACCCTAACGAGAAAGACTATGTTGGCAAGCGATCCGGCTTCCCCGAAACCTTTATCGAGGTCTGCCAAACGATTTTCAGGCAGATGTTCCGCGTCTATGCCCATCTCTACTGGGCCCATTTTATCGATCCTTTCTACCACCTCAATCTTGAGAAGCAACTCAACAGCTGCTTCAGTCATTTTATTCTCACTGCCACCGCGTTAGACATGCTCAAGCCCTATGAACTGGAGCCCATGCAGGCCCTCATCGATCTTTGGGCCGCCAATGGTACATTCCCTCCTGAGTCCAGGGCCTACGAGTACGCCAACCTGCGTGCCGGGGAGCGTCTTTTGCAGCTTGCCGGAGCTCCTTAGTCGTGGACTACAAGCCCTATCGGCCCCTCTGGAAGGCCACGACGCAAACGGCGGTAACTTAATAGCTCACGGTATATAAGGAAACGGTGAAGTTTATCAACGCATCGAAGAAGAAGATCAACGACAGAGTACTGGCTACTGGTGATAAAGAGGGGACAGGAGCAAACGGAAATAAAAGGAAAAAGAAAAAAAATAAGAAAAACACCCAAATAACGTTTTTAGCTGAAACCAGGAAAGGAGGACGCATCGGGCTCGGCTTTTGCATACATCGAGTGAGAGGGGGAAGGTACTCAACAAGAGCCTTGCATTTACGGTAATAGCGGCATAGGGTTTTGGAGATGCTGTATGATTGGAATTCACTCCCGAATACGTTCCCTTTGAAACGACGCCTCCGTCGGTCTGTGGTGTGGAGGCTGTATGAGTGCATGTGTTGTATTATGTGTGAATGTATGCTCGCAGAGCACGATTGAAAAGCTGTGGTGGACTCTTTTGGTATATCATGACTTCGATTTGTGGGGCGGGGTCCTTACGATGTGTCTCCCTTCGAGGTTGACCCGTCTATCCTTGTGTCTTTTCAAGAAATCAGAGACGCTGACCCGGCGCAGACTACTACCGATATTTTGCACTCTGTCCTAACGATAGCTCTCCTATTTTGAGAGGGAGAATCCGACGATACGATTATTCGCCCGACTACCCGAAATACGACATTCCTCAGCGACGCCCTGGCAGAAGCGGAGATGCATCCCTTCTTGCTAGATCGCCATGGAAGTCTACCACCTCGGAATGAAGTGGCGAGCCGTACGACATCGGTATCTTCAACGTGTGTGTTCAGAGAGGTCTCTCTGCTGCCCCCAGAGATTATCAGGAATACCATCCTTCTAGCCTAGCAGAGGAGGGTTTCATAGAAAGAGGGGCAGGAGAAACAAACGGACAACCTAGTTCCTCAATGACGGGACCGAATGTTTCCTCCGTCATTAGCAAAGAATCTTGTCATCTCATCCATTGGACCCAGGGATGTCAAACGCAAATACTAATTAGAACATGGAGAAGAGAATGACGAGATACTCTATTTATTGGAAGAAAATCAAGCTTCTCCTGCATACCCGAATCGTCTGTCCTTCCTTCTCAGTATTCGTTCGATCTTCATGAGGATCCACAGGCACAACAACGGAGAAAATGGCTTCGTGCGCCCACACAAAACCCACCTTCCTCCTTGCTTACGTTCTTTCTTTCCGACCGGTGTTTCTTTTCCATCATACTTAGCACTCGATATCTACGGGTCAAGCCTTGCAGTGGTTTCCATGGAGGCAGTACGACTTATGCGGACAAGGTTTCACGTGAAGGGTTGGAGGGGAAAGAGTATTATCTCTCAGACAACTTCTAAGTGACGGCATCACCGAATCCCCACACACACGGGAAGGCGTCGCGTCATGTTGGAGAATGTGCTAGAGAGTGCTTCTTTTCTCGCCAGTCTCCCAACAAGCGAGGTAGGACATCGGGGTTTCATGACGGTCGTTCAACGGCTTTCAACTAGGATTGCTGGGGCGAAGAATGCGGACAGACTACGCTACTCAAGCGTAACAAGAGCGAGCGAGTAGAATCGGGTAGGTCCTCTCAGGTACGCAGTGCGACATAGCCTTGTTTCTTGCGTTGGACCTGTGCGTTTGCTTGTCTTGGGATACACATAACCCGGACTTACATTCGCCTGAGCCTCCTCCCCTCTCTCCATTCTACAACTTCCGGTGTGGTTCCCCCAACATATCGACGGGCTCAAGAAAGTTCGAAGAAACTCGCAGATATTGAAAAGGTCCCGAGCTACCATCGCACTGCTTGCACCATTTGGAACAGGGACAGCCGTTTGTGCCCTGCTTTAGGGTCACGTTAAGAACGCTATCCGAGGATCACAAAAGCTTCGGCTCTCTGGAGGAGTGTGGCTTAGAGATTAGGTAGGAATGACCTCTATTTACTATTTCGGCAAGCCTTGCACATTCTCTCCCCCGCCCACTCTTACGCCATGCTATATCTACTTGCTAAGCCAGTCTTGGCACAACCAGCCTCAAAGCTTACGAAGCATGAAGGAGCGAGTGCAAGTTAGGTACTGAAGCCAGCCACCCTTCATGCTCGGGCGGGAGGGAGGTGGGACAAAGTTCGCCCCGTTTTTTTCGTCTCTTTCTTTATCGATGTCGGTGGGCATCGGCCGTCCACGGAGAGAGATCGTTTCACTCAAAGTGCACTGCGCACTGCAGTCTGCAGGCTCCCGATCGGGGGGCAGGAGGCGAGAGAGGAAGGGGGATGATGAAATCGAAAGACAAAGATAACAGGCACAAGAGAGAAAAAAAAGTAAACTTAGGGGAGAAGTAGAATGTAGGACGACCTCGAACGATGGGGAATGGGACACGAGGGAGAGGGGATTTGGGAATAACCCCAGCAACAGGAAAACAGTCGATTCCGATAATATCAAACGGTTCGTGGGAGATAGCCGGGCAACTGCACCAATTCTCTTCACGCATCCGCACCATAGCATGCACTGGGCGCTCGATTGTGAGTTGCGGTGAAGCTTCGTATCATCCACCGCTTCCCTTAGTCGTGAACCCTCAGTACGATACCTCCAAGGAGCTCTCGCCCAACACGGGCCTCTATCATGTGAAATCTCTGCAATTGAAACCAATCTATGACCATGACGCGTCTGTCGAGGTGTCTAGAAGAAAAAAGGAAAACCGTTCGAGCATCGAGCATCCCGCCACTTGAAGACCTGCAGTATTACCACCTTGATCTTCTTTTCCTCAAACCGCCCGCCCCCTGTCTTTGAGCTTCACGCTAGGCGGTCCTTCTTAGCTGACCCTGTTTGGGGGGGATTCCTTTCCTTCCATGACCCAAGTCCGATTGTGTCTGCATGCACCCTACTGGTATGCATCCGGGGCACTGGGGAATGGGGGCTCGACGGTTCCCTGCTTCCTGCGTCACTTGGTTCTGTTTTGAGTCAGACGATCTTCGATCCATAAATAGATGAATCCGGTTATATCCAAACACTGTTCGAAGTTTTGTTCCAATCGGACGCTGAAAGACTCCCGAAGCGGTGTGTATGAAAGCATGGACAGACCCTTTTTTTCGTCTTTGCCTTTCTTACCTTTTCTCCTACCACCCTACCCCTGCCTCTCTCTGAGGCTTGGAATGGGTTTAATCGGCCTAGAGCGGATGCAAGATTGATAGCTTAGCCCGATATTTCACAAGGAGGAAAAAAAAAAAAGAAAGAAAAGGAAAAAAAAGAAGCAAGGCGAGAAAAAAGTGGACACGGCGCATCCTTGCATTAGCATCTCACCGCCATTCCGATTCCTGCCTCTTTGCAGCACGAGAGCGGTCCCACGAAACACGCGTCCACTTTTTTTTCCTTAATTTTTTCCTCTTGCAAGTTTTTCTGCCTTATCCCCCCTGCCACATCTTTCCTGAGCAACGCAGAGGAAGGCAACGACGGTCGGATCATGGGGAGGACCATGTGGTTCTAGTCCTGCAAGCGTGGGAGGAGATTTTGGCAAGAACCATCTCCGATGATACCTGCAGGGCGGAGCCAAGAGGAAGCAGGAACAAATGCTTTGGTTTTAGGCTGCATCTTCGTAGGGTTTATTCGCTACCAAGAACTTTCTCCGACGCGGTCAGGTCCACCCGGATGTCATACGCGACACGAGGCGGTGGGGGCAGGGAAAGATGCCAATCGCGACCTTCACTTGAGGCAGGACTTTGAGTCATACTTGCACCGCAGCAGAGGTCCCCGTCGGAAGCCGTAGATCATCGAATCCGCGATAGGGGGAGAATAGGCCCGGGCCCTATGATGAGGAGTACCGGCTGTTCTGTTGTCAACGGCGTGACGTGCCGGAGGCAGGGCGTGGCGTTGGGGGATTGAGACGCCCCCTTTTGGGTCTCTAGATGGTCCTTTCTGCGCGTGAGGCGTTGGGCAGGATGGACTGGTCGGACTGGTCGGACGGAGGATTGCCCTCAAAAGCTGGAGGATGAGGCGAGCGGAGCTGAAGAGCCGGTGTTTTTGGACAAGGAAGGGGGTGAGAAGTGAAAGACGGGGGCGGAAACTCGGCTCCAACGACGGAGTGGCAATGGAAAAAGCAAAGAAAGAAAGAAGAATCTGGAGATTAATTCTGCCCGATTTGCGCGAGTAGCGCGAGTACAAACCCACGAGGGATCGATACGTCCAAGTCCAGTCAGGAACTGTTTCGAAACATGGGACTTCCAGATGGGACATAGGATGGATCAGATAGAGGAATATTGTAGAAATAAATCTAATTAATTACTAGGCTGATACGATCTCGAACTTGCAACTGCCTCATCTTGAGTCGAGTTTCCGACTCTATGAGACCTATTTGGGGTCACTTGGTAGCAAATTAATTTTAAGAAATATTTCTTTTCTAATTTGATTCCATTTCTTCCATTTCCCTACGTCCTTCTCCCTCCGCCCGTCCTCGGCAGCCATCCATCGTCCAGAGTATGATCAGGGATCAGGGATCTACTTCTCCAGACAGTTTCTTTCTCTCCCGAGGCGAAGGACGAAAGAACAGAAGATGGAAGATGGGGGGAATGGCTCGTCCCGAAACATCAGCCGAATACTTGGGTGTCCCCGTACGAGTTTCCGGGGATTTCAGGTATCATTGAGTCCAATTGAGGGTTTGATTGAGATTCTGGGCTGAATCCTTCAGGGTCTCGTCGACATGTTGTTTCTGGAGCTAATTGAGTCATTGTTACAACCCGAGGTTTTTGGCAAGGCGAGCGAAGACAAGAAAATGAAAATACGAAAACAAAATCATCATCATAATAATAATAATAATAATAACAATAATAATAAATTGAAAATAATGGCATGCTTCTCCCCGACTCTTCTGTATCCAATGCGTGCCTGTCCATCAACCTGCTGTCACTCTTCTTGTTGATCACCAAGTCTCAGCAGGCCAACTTCGTGGATGTGGATGGGGGAAAGGGTCCATGTGAGGCGCTCACCA